TCGTGTCTATGGGCGCACCAGGGTGTTGAATACCCTCCCCCTAAGGTGTCGGAACCCCTCCCCAGGGTGTCGGAACCCCTCCCAGGGTGTCGGAACCCTCCCCCCCAGGGTGTCGGACCCCCCCCGTCCCAGGGTGTGGGAACACTGAGAGAGTAAGACAAGATGAGCCGGTGCGGGGTGCTGCCGGAGCCAGAGGTCGGAGTGTGGCTCCGTGTGTACATCTACGGGCTTCACGGCTTCCTTATCGAAGTGCTCTTCACGGCCGTGTGGGAGTTCGTCGTCAACACAGACTGGGCGCTCGTAGGTCAGTACTCACGCTTCTCTAGTTGTGCCTTAATGCTCGCTACTTTTACTATCATACATCATTATTCTATTTGTCTGTCTATGTTTACTTATCGACTTGGATTGGTCGGTACGGCGACGACATGGCTGTTCGATCCCCGATGGTGCAAGTTCTTTTTTATTATTATTTTCTACCACAGACGTGGCCAGACATTTGCAATGCTAACCACGTATATACATTTTCTTCTGTCCTCCATGGACAGGGTTAGAGATCTGTTGAACATATAGTTCAAGGGTTTATTGAACAATCAACCACAGAAGGTGATTGTAGTGCTTTTAAACTGCTAAGCTAACCTACAGACATAAATACATAGATACACAGAGTTACGTCTGCCCTACATAAAGTGGTCGATGTGTCCTGTCATTAATGTGCATTTACAAAAGTGAAATGTAGTTCTGATCAGCTTGCACATATACTTTATACACATACATACGCACACATATACATATATATACATATACATATATATATATATATATATATATATATATATATATATATATATATATATACACACATACACATATACATATACACACATACATACACATATACATACACATACATTTATGGCTCTCCTACTCTGACAGGGTGAGATAGCTGATAAAGAAACTAGTGTGCAATTAAGCACTTAATCACTGAAGGTGATGAAGGTGCTTTTACAAGCTCAGGTTATATAGTTACATCATATACATACATTATATAAGTGATATATTACATGGTTAATCTTGGGTACAAGTCCAATATATCATCAAGTGTTCCAGTACTCATATAGTAACTACACAGTTCAGCATACCTTAGCCCAGGAGGGCGAAAGTCAGACAATATGGGACATTCTACAATATAATGTTCAAGAGAGTGCATGTTTTCTCTTTCACAAAGTTGACACATTGTGTACTGAACACTTTCACACAGTTGACACATTGTGTACTGAACACTTTCACAAAGTTGACACATTGTGTACTGAACACTTTCACACAGTTGACACATTGTGTACTGAACACTTTCACAAAGTTGACACATTGTGTACTGAACACTTTCACAAAGTTGACACATTGTGTACTGAACACTTTCACAAAGTTGACACATTGTGTACTGAACACTTCACAAAGTTGACACATTGTGTACTGAACACTTTCACAAAGTTGACACATTGTGTACTGAACACTTCACAAAGTTGACACATTGTGTACTGAACACTTTCACAAAGTTGACACATTGTGTACTGAACACTTTCACACAGTTGACACATTGTGTACTGAACACTTCACAAAGTTGACACATTGTGTACTGAACACTTTCACACAGTTGACACATTGTGTACTGAACACTTCACAAAGTTGACACATTGTGTACTGAACACTTCACAAAGTTGACACATTGTGTACTGAACACTTTCACAAAGTTGACACATTGTGTACTGAACACTTTCACACAGTTGACACATTGTGTACTGAACACTTCACAAAGTTGACACATTGTGTACTGAACACTTCACAAAGTTGACACATTGTGTACTGAACACTTCACAAAGTTGACACATTGTGTACTGAACACTTTCACACAGTTGACACATTGTGTACTGAACACTTCACAAAGTTGACACATTGTGTACTGAACACTTTCACAAAGTTGACACATTGTGTACTGAACACTTCACAAAGTTGACACATTGTGTACTGAACACTTCACAAAGTTGACACATTGTGTACTGAACACTTCACAAAGTTGACACATTGTGTACTGAACACTTTCACAAAGTTGACACATTGTGTACTGAACACTTCACAAAGTTGACACATTGTGTACTGAACACTTTCACACAGTTGACACATTGTGTACTGAACACTTCACAAAGTTGACACATTGTGTACTGAACACTTTCACAAAGTTGACACATTGTGTACTGAACACTTCACAAAGTTGACACATTGTGTACTGAACACTTCACAAAGTTGACACATTGTGTACTGAACACTTCACAAAGTTGACACATTGTGTACTGAACACTTTCACAAAGTTGACACATTGTGTACTGAACACTTCACAAAGTTGACACATTGTGTACTGAACACTTTCACACAGTTGACACATTGTGTACTGAACACTTCACAAAGTTGACACATTGTGTACTGAACACTTTCACAAAGTTGACACATTGTGTACTGAACACTTCACAAAGTTGACACATTGTGTACTGAACACTTCACAAAGTTGACACATTGTGTACTGAACACTTCACAAAGTTGACACATTGTGTACTGAACACTTTCACAAAGTTGACACATTGTGTACTGAACACTTCACAAAGTTGACACATTGTGTACTGAACACTTTCACACAGTTGACACATTGTGTACTGAACACTTCACAAAGTTGACACATTGTGTACTGAACACTTTCACAAAGTTGACACATTGTGTACTGAACACTTCACAAAGTTGACACATTGTGTACTGAACACTTCACAAAGTTGACACATTGTGTACTGAACACTTCACAAAGTTGACACATTGTGTACTGAACACTTTCACACAGTTGACACATTGTGTACTGAACACTTTCACAAAGTTGACACATTGTGTACTGAACACTTCACAAAGTTGACACATTGTGTACTGAACACTTTCACAAAGTTGACACATTGTGTACTGAACACTTCACAAAGTTGACACATTGTGTACTGAACACTTTCACAAAGTTGACACATTGTGTACTGAACACTTTCACACAGTTGACACATTGTGTACTGAACACTTCACAAAGTTGACACATTGTGTACTGAACACTTTCACACAGTTGACACATTGTGTACTGAACACTTCACAAAGTTGACACATTGTGTACTGAACACTTCACAAAGTTGACACATTGTGTACTGAACACTTTCACAAAGTTGACACATTGTGTACTGAACACTTTCACACAGTTGACACATTGTGTACTGAACACTTCACAAAGTTGACACATTGTGTACTGAACACTTCACAAAGTTGACACATTGTGTACTGAACACTTCACAAAGTTGACACATTGTGTACTGAACACTTTCACACAGTTGACACATTGTGTACTGAACACTTCACAAAGTTGACACATTGTGTACTGAACACTTTCACAAAGTTGACACATTGTGTACTGAACACTTCACAAAGTTGACACATTGTGTACTGAACACTTCACAAAGTTGACACATTGTGTACTGAACACTTCACAAAGTTGACACATTGTGTACTGAACACTTTCACAAAGTTGACACATTGTGTACTGAACACTTCACAAAGTTGACACATTGTGTACTGAACACTTTCACACAGTTGACACATTGTGTACTGAACACTTCACAAAGTTGACACATTGTGTACTGAACACTTTCACAAAGTTGACACATTGTGTACTGAACACTTCACAAAGTTGACACATTGTGTACTGAACACTTCACAAAGTTGACACATTGTGTACTGAACACTTCACAAAGTTGACACATTGTGTACTGAACACTTTCACAAAGTTGACACATTGTGTACTGAACACTTCACAAAGTTGACACATTGTGTACTGAACACTTTCACACAGTTGACACATTGTGTACTGAACACTTCACAAAGTTGACACATTGTGTACTGAACACTTTCACAAAGTTGACACATTGTGTACTGAACACTTCACAAAGTTGACACATTGTGTACTGAACACTTCACAAAGTTGACACATTGTGTACTGAACACTTCACAAAGTTGACACATTGTGTACTGAACACTTTCACAAAGTTGACACATTGTGTACTGAACACTTCACAAAGTTGACACATTGTGTACTGAACACTTTCACACAGTTGACACATTGTGTACTGAACACTTCACAAAGTTGACACATTGTGTACTGAACACTTTCACAAAGTTGACACATTGTGTACTGAACACTTCACAAAGTTGACACATTGTGTACTGAACACTTCACAAAGTTGACACATTGTGTACTGAACACTTCACAAAGTTGACACATTGTGTACTGAACACTTTCACACAGTTGACACATTGTGTACTGAACACTTTCACAAAGTTGACACATTGTGTACTGAACACTTTCACAAAGTTGACACATTGTGTACTGAACACTTTCACAAAGTTGACACATTGTGTACTGAACATTTGGGTTTTGAGAAAGCTGCCAGATACGTCTATATCCCAGGCGTATTCTGGCCACTATAACATCACATTGCCGGGTTCTTGTTCTATTAGTCCCATATGTTTGTAGGTTCACTACCTACAAAATTCTCAGAGGAATTGACAGGGCAGATAAAGATAAACTATGCAACACTGATGGGACACGAACAAGGGGACACAGATGGAAACTGAGTACCCACATGAGCCACAGGGACGTTAGAAAGAACTTTTTCAGTGTGGGAGTAGTTAACAGGTGGAATGCATTAGGCAGTGATGTGGTGGAGACTGACTCCATACACAGTTTATAATGTAGATATGATAGAGCCCAGTAGGCTCAGGAACCTGTACACCAGTTGATTGACAGTTGAGAGGCGGGACCAAAGAGCCAGAGCTCAACCCCCGCAAGCACCACTAGGTGGGTACAACTAGGGGAAGGCTCCAGGACATGGTGGAGTTCACGTCTAACATTTAGGCTCAAATTAAGTCTCAAATTAAGGTGTGAATTGTTTATTATTCTTTTAAATCTTATTCTCCCGATGCTTACAAGGATTTTGGTGAGCGGTCCTCTCGCCTCTCGCTGGCCCACAACAGTTGAAGGGAAAATTGTTGTAATTGTGGTGATGCTGCAGGAACCTCTCAACCTGTGTAGATGAACATATAGGAAGTTCAGTCACTGCAACTATCAGGGTCAAATAATTAGGTTTACCATTGCGTTAAGCAAAATAAAACATACATATTTAGAAAAGTTTGCCTTTAAAGAGCACGTAAGAGAAAATGGTAATATTAGAGAACTTAATATTGACAGTAACTAAAGAATTTTTAAGAATTGTTTAAATAATTCATTTTGATTAAAACTCCAATTTGTTTTGACCTACAGAGGTGAAAAGAAAGTGAGCATGTGGACATATAACATAAATATTTACTTAAGCTGTTGTGGCATAAAACGTTTTAATTAGAAGTACGAATATATTTACATGTTACATTTTGTACAAGAATGTAATAACTCTTGTATATATCTCAAAAAAACAAAAAACAAAAAAATGTGCTATACACACACACACACACACAGGGGCCTCGTAGCCTGGTGGATAGCGCGCAGGACTCGTAATTCTGAGGCGCGGGTTCGATTCCCGCACGAGGCAGAAACAAATGGGCAAAAGTTTCTTTCACCCTAAGTGCCCCTGTTACCTAGCAGTAAATAGGTACCTGGGAGTTAGTCAGCTGTCACGGGCTGCTTCCTGGGGTGTGTGTGTGTGGTGTGGGAAAAAAAAAAGTAGTTAGTAAACAGTTGATTGACAGTTGAGAAGCGGGCCGAAAGAGCAAAGCTCAACCCCCGCAAAAACACAACTAGTAAACACACACACAGTGCGAGCAGATGCATTAAGTCTACAATTCTCTATAATTGATCAAGAGGTGACCGGTAAGAAGAGAACCATCAGAAAGTTAGAAGACAGCTAACGTAGTCCCGATATACAAGACAGACAGGAGGCCCTGAACGTTGTAACACATCACCAACATGGGTTCAGGGATGGCAAATCTGCCTCACAAGATCAACAGAATTCTGTGACTCGGTGATTGATATTAAAACAAAATAGAAGGGATGGGTAGACTGCATATTTGTGGATTGCCAGAAAGCCTTTGACACAGTGCCACACAAGAGGCTAGTGAAACAGCTGGAGTGAAAGGGCAGGTACTCCGGTGGACAAGGGCAGTGACCTGACACTTACGGCTGACACTGTCAGCTCCCCTGGTGATCTGACACGCGGCTCTCAGCACACTAATCAACACCTGCGCTGACGTCAGGTTGGCAGGTGTTGAACTGGCTCCCTGCATGATGGTGGAACCTGGGGGGAGGGGAGGGGGAGCATATGTTGTATACTTTGTTATGGGGCTCTGTATACTCACACAGTGCTCTGTATACTCACACAGTGCTCTGTATACTCACACAGTGCTCTGTATACTCACACAGTGCTCTGTATGATCATACAGTGCTCTGTGTGATCACACAGTGCTCTGTATACTCACACAGTGCTCTGTATACTCACACAGTGCTCTGTATACTCACACAGTGCTCTGTATACTCACACAGTGCTCTGTATACTCACACAGTGCTCTGTATACTCACACAGTGCTCTGTATACTCACACAGTGCTCTGTATGATCACACAGTGCTCTGTATACTCACACAGTGCTCTGTATACTCACACAGTGCTCTGTATACTCACACAGTGCTCTGTATACTCACACAGTGCTCTGTATACTCACACAGTGCTCTGTATGATCATACAGTGCTCTGTGTGATCACACAGTGCTCTGTATACTCACACAGTGCTCTGTATACTCACACAGTGCTCTGTATACTCACACAGTGCTCTGTATACTCACACAGTGCTCTGTATACTCACACAGTGCTCTGTATACTCACACAGTGCTCTGTATACTCACACAGTGCTCTGTATGTCCACACAGTGCTCTGTATACTCACACAGTGCTCTGTATACTCACACAGTGCTCTGTATACTCACACAGTACTCTGTATGTTCACACAGTGCTCTGTATACTCACACAGTGCTCTGTATACTCACACAATGCTCTGTATACTCACACAGTGCTCTGTATACTCACACAGTGCTCTGTATACTCACACAGTGCTCTGTATACTCACACAGTGCTCTGTATACTCACACAGTACTCTGTATACTCACACAGGGCTCTGTATACTCACACAGTGCTCTGTATACTCACACAGTGCTCTGTATACTCACACAGCGCTCTGTATACTCATACAGTGCTCTGTATACTCACACAGTGCTCTGTATACTCACACAGTGCTCTGTATAGTCACACAGTGCTCTGTATACTCACACAGTGCTCTGTATACTCACACAGTGCTCTGTATACTCACACAGCGCTCTGTATGATCACACAGTGCTCTGTATACTCACACAGCGCTCTGTATGATCACACAGCGTTCTGTATGATCACACAGTGTTCTGTATGATCACACAGTGCTCTGTATGATCACACAGTGTTCTGTATGATCACACAGTGTTCTGTATGATCACACAGTGCTCTGTATGATCACACAGTGTTCTGTATGATCACACAGTGTTCTGTATGATCACACAGTGTTCTGTATGATCACACAGTGCTCTGTATGATCACACAGTGCTCTGTATGATCACACAGTGTTCTGTATGATCACACAGTGTTCTGCATGATCACACAGTGCTCTGTATACTCATACAGTGCTCTGTATGATCACACAGTGTTCTGTATGATCACACAGTGTTCTGTATGATCACACAGTGTTCTGTATGATCACACAGTGCTCTGTATGATCACACAGTGTTCTGTATGATCACACAGTGTTCTGTATGATCACACAGTGCTCTGTATACTCACACAGCGCTCTGTATACTCACAGAGTGTTCTGTATACTCACACAGCGCTCTGTATACTCACACAGTGTTCTGTATACTCACACAGCGCTCTGTATACTCACACAGTGCTCTGTATACTCACACAGTGCTCTGTATACTCACACAGTGCTCTGTATACTCACACAGTGCTCTGTATACTCACACAGTGCTCTGTATACTCACACAGTGCTCTGTATACTCACACAGTGCTCTGTATGATCACACAGTGTTCTGTATGATCACACAGTGCTCTGTATGCTCACACAGTGCTCTGTATACTCACACAGTGCTCTGTATACTCACACAGTGCTCTGTATGCTCATACAGTGCTCTGTATGATCACACAGTGCTCTGTATGCTCACACAGTGCTCTGTATGTCCACACAGTGCTCTGTATGATCACACAGTGCTCTGTATACTCACACAGTGCTCTGTATGTCCACACAGTGCTCTGTATGTCCACACAGTGCTCTGTATACTCACACAGTGCTCTGTATGTCCACACAGTGCTCTGTATACTCACACAGTGCTCTGTATACTCACACAGTGCTCTGTATGATCACACAGTGCTCTGTATGTCCACACAGCGCTCTGTATGTCCACACAGTGCTCTGTATGTCCACACAGTGCTCTGTATGTCCACACAGTTCTCTGTATGTCCACACAGCGCTCTGTATGTCCACACAGTGCTCTGTATACTCACACAGTGCTCTGTATGATCACACAGTTCTCTGTATGTCCACACAGTGCTCTGTATGTCCACACAGCGCTCTGTATGTCCACACAGTGCTCTGTATACTCACACAGTGCTCTGTATGATCACACAGTTCTCTGTATGTCCACACAGCGCTCTGTATGTCCACACAGTGCTCTGTATACTCACACAGTGCTCTGTATGATCACACAGTTCTCTGTATGTCCACACAGTGCTCTGTATGTCCACACAGCGCTCTGTATGTCCACACAGTGCTCTGTATACTCACACAGTGCTCTGTATGATCACACAGCGCTCTGTGTGATCACACAGTGTTCTGTATACTCACACAGTGTTCTGTATACTCACACAGTGCTCTGTATACTCACACAGTGCTCTGTATACTCACACAGTGCTCTGTATGATCACACAGTGCTCTGTATACTCACACAGTGCTCTGTATACTCACACAGTGCTCTGTATACTCACACAGTGCTCTGTATGATCACACAGCGCTCTGTGTGATCACACAGTGTTCTGTATACTCACACAGTGTTCTGTATACTCACACAGTGTTCTGTATACTCACACAGTGCTCTGTATACTCACACAGTGCTCTGTATACTCACACAGTGCTCTGTATGATCACACAGCGCTCTGTGTGATCACACAGTGTTCTGTATACTCACACAGTGTTCTGTATACTCACACAGTGTTCTGTATACTCACACAGTGCTCTGTATACTCACACAGTGTTCTGTATACTCACACAGTGCTCTGTATACTCACACAGTGCTCTGTATGATCACACAGCGCTCTGTGTGATCACACAGTGTTCTGTATACCCACACAGTGTTCTGTATACTCACACAGTGTTCTGTATACTCACACAGTGCTCTGTATACTCACACAGTGTTCTGTATACTCACACAGTGCTCTGTATACTCACACAGTGCTCTGTATGATCACACAGCGCTCTGTGTGATCACACAGTGTTCTGTATACTCACACAGTGCTCTGTATACTCACACAGTGCTCTGTATGATCACACAGCGCTCTGTGTGATCACACAGTGTTCTGTATACTCACACAGTGTTCTGTATACTCACACAGTGTTCTGTATACTCACACAGTGTTCTGTATACTCACACAGTGCTCTGTATACTCACACAGTGCTCTGTATACTCACACAGTGCTCTGTATACTCACACAGTGCTCTGTATACTCACACAGTGCTCTGTATACTCACACAGTGCTCTGTATGATCACACAGCGCTCTGTGTGATCACACAGTGTTCTGTATACTCACACAGTGTTCTGTATACTCACACAGTGTTCTGTATACTCACACAGTGCTCTGTATACTCACACAGTGCTCTGTATACTCACACAGTGCTCTGTATACTCACACAGTGCTCTGTATGATCACACAGCGCTCTGTGTGATCACACAGTGTTCTGTATACTCACACAGTGCTCTGTATACTCACACAGTGCTCTGTATGATCACACAGCGCTCTGTGTGATCACACAGTGTTCTGTATACTCACACAGTGCTCTGTATACTCACACAGTGCTCTGTATGTCCACACAGCGCTCTGTATGTCCACACAGTGCTCTGTATACTCACACAGTGCTCTGTATGATCACACAGCGCTCTGTGTGATCACACAGTGTTCTGTATACTCACACAGTGTTCTGTATACTCACACAGTGTTCTGTATACTCACACAGTGCTCTGTATACTCACACAGTGTTCTGTATACTCACACAGTGTTCTGTATACTCACACAGTGTTCTGTATACTCACACAGTGTTCTGTATACTCACACAGTGTTCTGTATACTCACACAGTGTTCTGTATGATCACACAGTGCTCTGTATACTCACACAGTGTTCTGTATACTCACACAGTGTTCTGTATACTCACACAGTGTTCTGTATGATCACACAGTGCTCTGTATACTCACACAGTGCTCTGTATACTCACACAGTGTTCTGTATGATCACACAGTGCTCTGTATACTCACACAGTGTTCTGTATACTCACACAGTGCTCTGTATACTCACACAGTGCTCTGTATGATCACACAGTGCTCTGTATACTCACACAGTGCTCTGTATACTCATACAGTGCTCTGTATGATCACACAGTGTTCTGTATACTCACACAGTGCTCTGTATACTCACACAGTGCTCTGTATACTCATACAGTGCTCTGTATGATCACACAGTGTTCTGTATGATCACACAGTGCTCTGTATACTCACACAGTGTTCTGTATACTCACACAGTGCTCTGTATACTCATACAGTGCTCTGTATGATCACACAGTGCTCTGTATACTCACACAGTGCTCTGTATACTCACACAGTGCTCTGTATACTCACACAGTGCTCTGTATGTTCACACAGTGCTCTGTATAATCACACAGTGCTCTGTATACTCACACAGTGCTCTGTATGTCCACACAGTGCTCTGTATACTCACACAGTGCTCTGTATACTCACACAGTGCTCTGTATACTCATACAGTGCTCTGTATGATCACACAGTGTTCTGTATGATCACACAGTGCTCTGTATACTCACACAGTGTTCTGTATACTCACACAGTGCTCTGTATACTCATACAGTGCTCTGTATGATCACACAGTGCTCTGTATGATCACACAGTGCTCTGTATACTCACACAGTGCTCTGTATACTCACACAGTGCTCTGTATACTCACACAGTGCTCTGTATGTCCACACAGTGCTCTGTATACTCACACAGTGCTCTGTATACTCACACAGTGCTCTGTATACTCACACAGTGCTCTGTATGTCCACACAGTGCTCTGTATACTCACACAGTGCTCTGTATACTCACACAGTGCTCTGTATACTCATACAGTGCTCTGTATGATCACACAGTGTTCTGTATGATCACACAGTGCTCTGTATACTCACACAGTGTTCTGTATACTCACACAGTGCTCTGTATACTCACACAGTGCTCTGTATACTCACACAGTGCTCTGTATGTCCACACAGTGCTCTGTATGTCCACACAGTGCTCTGTATACTCACACAGTGCTCTGTATACTCACACAGTGCTCTGTATACTCATACAGTGCTCTGTATGATCACACAGTGTTCTGTATGATCACACAGTGCTCTGTATACTCACACAGTGCTCTGTATACTCACACAGTGCTCTGTATACTCACACAGTGCTCTGTATACTCATACAGTGCTCTGTATGATCACACAGTGTTCTGTATGATCACACAGTGCTCTGTATACTCACACAGTGTTCTGTATACTCACACAGTGCTCTGTATACTCACACAGTGCTCTGTATACTCACACAGTGCTCTGTATACTCACACAGTGCTCTGTATACTCATACAGTGCTCTGTATGATCACACAGTGTTCTGTATACTCACACAGCGCTCTGTATACTCACACAGTGCTCTGTATACTCACACAGTGCTCTGTATACTCACACAGTGCTCTGTATACTCACACAGTGTTCTGTATACTCACACAGTGTTCTGTATGATCACACAGCGCTCTGTATACTCACACAGTGTTCTGTATACTCACACAGTGCTCTGTATACTCACACAGTGCTCTGTATACTCACACAGTGCTCTGTATACTCACACAGTGCTCTGTATGATCACACAGTGTTCTGTATACTCACACAGCGCTCTGTATACTCACACAGTGTTCTGTATACTCACACAGCGCTCTGTATACTCACACAGTGCTCTGTATACTCACACAGTGCTCTGTATGTCCACACAGTGCTCTGTATACTCACACAGTGTTCTGTATACTCACACAGCGCTCTGTATACTCACACAGTGCTCTGTATACTCACACAGTGCTCTGTATGTCCACACAGTGCTCTGTATACTCACACAGTGTTCTGTATACTCACACAGTGCTCTGTATACTCACACAGTGCTCTGTATACTCACACAGTGCTCTGTATGATCACACAGTGTTCTGTATACTCACACAGTGTTCTGTATACTCACACAGTGCTCTGTATACTCACACAGTGCTCTGTATACTCACACAGTGCTCTGTATGATCACACAGTGTTCTGTATACTCACACAGCGCTCTGTATACTCACACAGTGCTCTGTATACTCACACAGTGCTCTGTATACTCACACAGTGCTCTGTATACTCACACAGTGTTCTGTATACTCACACAGTGTTCTGTATGATCACACAGCGCTCTGTATACTCACACAGTGTTCTGTATACTCACACAGTGCTCTGTATACTCACACAGTGCTCTGTATACTCACACAGTGCTCTGTATACTCACACAGTGCTCTGTATGATCACACAGTGTTCTGTATACTCACACAGCGCTCTGTATACTCACACAGTGTTCTGTATACTCACACAGCGCTCTGTATACTCACACAGTGCTCTGTATACTCACACAGTGCTCTGTATGTCCACACAGTGCTCTGTATACTCACACAGTGTTCTGTATACTCACACAGCGCTCTGTATACTCACACAGTGCTCTGTATACTCACACAGTGCTCTGTATGTCCACACAGTGCTCTGTATACTCACACAGTGTTCTGTATACTCACACAGTGCTCTGTATACTCACACAGTGCTCTGTATACTCACACAGTGCTCTGTATGATCACACAGTGTTCTGTATACTCACACAGTGTTCTGTATACTCACACAGTGCTCTGTATACTCACACAGTGCTCTGTATACTCACACAGTGCTCTGTATGATCACACAGTGTTCTGTATACTCACACAGCGCTCTGTATACTCACACAGTGCTCTGTATACTCACACAGTGCTCTGTATACTCACACAGTGCTCTGTATACTCACACAGTTCTCTGTATACTCACACAGTGTTCTGTATGCTCACAAAACAAGTAATATAAAATAATTAAAATTTAAATATTGTATAAAGTCCAAGAGTATTAAAATATTTAATATTTTATCAAGTTTAAAATTATTAAAAATTATTAATAATTTTTTTAAACGATAAATGATCACTGAAAATTAACTTGAGCCGAAAGACGGGAAGTGTTTCGCTCATCTTCGTTGTGAGTGAAAGTTGTCAAGTGTTCCACTCACTGCTCAAGTGTTCCACTCACTGCTCAAGTGTTCCACTCACTGCTCAAGTGTTCCACTCACTGCTCAAGTGTTCCACTCACTGCTCAAGTGTTCCACTCACTGCTCAAGTGTTCCACTCACTGCTCAAGTGTTCCACTCACTGCTCAAGTGTTCCACTCACTGCTCAAGTGTTCCACTCACTGCTCAAGTGTTCCACTCACCTGTTGTGGTGAGGAAGGTGTTGGCTCGTCTACCTGTGGATAGAGACGTTATACAGTCTTATAGAAGCTGTTTGAAGACTTGATAGACTTAAGAGTTTGTGAACCTGTCCTCACTCTTCCTCCAAATGTCAATGTGAGACTATCAGCTTCTGTCTCATAATTCTGGCGCTTTAGTGATATTAAAACACTGCAGTATTAACTCATGGGAGTGCATGTATGTATACATGCACTCATGGGAGTGCATGTATATTTTAAGGAGGGATGAGAGTGGTAATGAGTGGATGTACTCACAGAACACGGTGACGGGGTTGGCCAGAACCCCAAAGGTTCTGAGAAGGTCCTCACGCCCTTGCTCGTCGTCTGAGGGGCGAGAGAAGAATTATGAGCATAGAGGTAATTATGAGCAGGAAACAGCAAGCTAATATGATATAATTAAGTACGTGGAGCTGGGATATGAGGACCAGGAGCTGGGATATGAGGACCAGGAGCTGGGATATGAAGACCAGGAGCTGGGATATGAGGACAAGGAGCTGGGATATGAGGACAAGGAGCTGGGATATGAAGACCAGGAGCTGGGATATGAGGACAAGGAGCTGGGGTATGAGGACAAGGAGCTGGGATATGAAGACAAGGAGCTGGGATATGAGGACAAGGAGCTGGGATATGAGGACAAGGAGCTGCTGGGATATGAGGACAAGGAGCTGGGATATGAGGACCAGCAGCTGGGATATGAGGACAAGGAGCTGGGATATGAGGACCAGGAGCTGGGATATGAGGACAAGGAGCTGGGATATGAGGACCAGCAGCTGGGATATGAGGACAAGGAGCTGGGATATGAGGACCAGCAGCTGGGATATGAGGACAAGGAGCTGGGATATGAGGACTGGGATATGAGGAAGGAGCTGGGATATGAGGACCAGGCAGCTGGGATATGAGGACAAGGAGCTGGGATATGAGGACAAGGAGCTGGGATATGAGGACAAGGAGCTGGGATATGAGGACCAGGAGCTGGGATATGAGGACAAGGAGCTGGGATATGAGGACCAGGAGCTGGGATATGAGGACCAGGAGCTGGGATATGAGGACCAGGAGCTGGGATATGAGGACAAGGAGCTGGGATATGAGGACAAGGAGCTGGGATATGAGGACCAGGAGCTGGGGTATGAGGACAAGGAGCTGGGATATGAGGACCAGGAGCTGGGATATGAGGACAAGGAGCTGGGATATGAGGACAAGGAGCTGGGATATGAGGACAAGGAGCTGGGATATGAGGACAAGGAGCTGGGATATGAGGACAAGGAGCTGGGATATGAGGACAAGGAGCTGGGATATGAGGACCAGGAGCAGGGATATGAGGACAAGGAGCTGGGATATGAGGACAAGGAGCTGGGATATGAGGACAAGGAGCTGGGATATGAGGACAAGGAGCTGGGATATGAGGACAAGGAGCTGGGATATGAGGACCAGGAGCTGGGATATGAGGACAAGGAGCTGGGATATGAGGACAAGGAGCTGGGATATGAGGACAAGGAGCTGGGATATGAGGACAAGGAGCTGGGATATGAGGACCAGGAGCTGGGATATGAGGACAAGGAGCTGGGATACGAGGACAAGGAGCTGGGATATGAGGACAAGGAGCTGGGATATGAGGACAAGGAGCTGGGATATGAGGACAAGGAGCTGGGATATGAGGACCAGGAGCTGGGATATGAGGACAAGGAGCTGGGATATGAGGACCAGGAGCTGGGATATGAGGACAAGGAGCTGGGATATGAGGACCAGGAGCTGGGATATGAGGACAAGGAGCTGGGATATGAGGACAAGGAGCTGGGATATGAGGACAAGGAGCTGGGATATGAGGACCAGGAGCTGGGATATGAGGACAAGGAGCTGGGATATGAGGACAAGGAGCTGGGATATGAGGACAAGGAGCTGGGATATGAGGACCAGGAGCTGGGATATGAGGACCAGGAGCTGGGATATGAGGACAAGGAGCTGGGATATGAGGACAAGGAGCTGGGATATGAGGACAAGGAGCTGGGATATGAGGACAAGGAGCTGGGATATGAGGACAAGGAGCTGGGATATGAGGACAAGGAGCTGGGATATGAGAACAGAGAGAGAGAGAGAGAGAGAGAGAGAGAGAGAGAGAGAGAGAGAGAGAGAGAGAGAGAGAGAGAGACACAGAGAGAGAGAGAGGAGACTCACCCAGAGAGTGAGAGAGAGAGAGAGAGAGAGAGAGAGACAGAGAGAGAGAGAGAGAGAGAGAGAGAGAGAGAGAGAGAGAGAGAGAGAGAGAGAGAGAGAGAGAGAGAGAGAGAGAGAGAGAGAGAGAGAGAGAGAGAGAGAGAGAGAGAGAGAGAGAGAGAGGAGAGAGAGAGAGGTACTCACCCAGAGAGAGAGAGAGAGAGAGTACTCACCCAGGAGAGAGAGAGAGAGAGAGAGAGAGAGAGAGAGAGAGAGAGAGCGCTACTCACCCAGAGAGAGAGAGAGAGAGAGAGTACTCACCCCCAGAGAGAGAGAGAGAGAGAGAGAGAGGTACTCACCCAGAGAGAGAGAGAGACAGTAGAGACCCAGGAGAGAGAGAGAGAGAGGTACTCACCCAGGAGAGAGAGAGAGAGAGGGTACTCAGAGAGAGAGAGAGAGAGGTACTCACCATGAGAGAGAGAGAGAGAGAGAGAGAGAGTACTCACCCAGGAGAGAGAGAGAGAGGTACTCACCCAGGAGAGAGAGAGGAGAGAGAGAGAGGAGAGAGAGAGAGGTACTGACCCAGGAGAGAGAGACACAGAGAGAGAGAGGTACTCACCCAGGAGAGAGAGAGAGGTACTGACCCAGGAGAGAGAGACACAGAGAGAGAGAGGTACTCACCCAGGAGAGAGAGAGAGGTACTGACCCAGGAGAGAGAGACACAGAGAGAGAGAGGTACTCACCCAGGAGAGAGAGAGAGAGAGGTACTCACCCAGGAGAGAGAGAGAGAGAGAGGTACTGACCCAGGAGAGAGAGACACAGAGAGAGAGAGGTACTCACCCAGGAGAGAGAGAGAGAGAGCGCTACTCACCCAGGAGAGAGAGAGAGAGAGAGGTACTCACCCAGGAGAGAGAGACACAGAGAGAGAGAGGTACTCACCCAGGAGAGAGAGACACAGAGAGAGAGAGGTACTCACCCAGGAGAGAGAGAGAGAGAGAGGTACTCACCCAGGAGAGAGAGAGAGGTACTCACCCAGGAGAGAGAGAGAGAGGTACTCACCCAGGAGAGAGAGAGAGGTACTCACCCAGGAGAGAGAGATAGAGAGGTACTGACCCAGGAGAGAGAGACACAGAGAGAGAGGTACTCACCCAGGAGAGAGAGAGAGAAAGGTACTCACCCAGGAGAGAGAGAGAGAGAGGTACTCACCCAGGAGAGAGAGAGAGGTACTCACCCAGGAGAGAGAGAGAGAGAGGTACTCACCCAGGAGAGAGAGAGAGGTACTCACCCAGGAGAGAGAGAGAGAGAGGTACTCACCCAGGAGAGAGAGAGAGAGAGAGGTACTCACCCAGGAGAGAGAGAGAGAGAGAGGTACTCACCCAGGAGAGAGAGAGAGAGAGAGAGGTACTCACCCAGGAGCACCCTGCCAGCACTAGTACCACACAAAGAGTTGAGGAACATGACCAGGACCTGCTGACTGCTCCACACCGTCACGTTACTCCCTGCACCACTCACTATCGCCGCTCCTGTAACACAACCAACACATTACACACTTTCACCTCTCCTTAAACACATAGGCCTAAATATGTGTTCCACCCCATACATAGTCCGTATTGTGACTATATGGACAAGCGTACAATTGTCGACGGTATGGACGAGTAGGAAGTAGATTTTGGTACTTTCCATTTTATAGTCAGGAATATATAGGTACTTCCCACCACAGTGTTGACATAGGTACTTCCCACCACAGTGTTACCACAGGTACTTCCCACTACAGTGTTACCACAGGTACTTCCCACCACAGTGTTGACACAGGTACTTCCCACCAGTGTTACCACAGGTACTTCCCACCACAGTGTTACCACAGGTACTTCCCACCACAGTGCTACCACAGGTACTTCCCACCACAGTGTTACCACAGGTACTTCCAACCAGTGTTACCACAGGTACTTCCCACCACCAGTGTTACCACAGGTACTTCCCACCACCAGTGTTACCACAGGTACTTCCCACCACAGTGCTACCACAGGTACTTCCCACCACCAGTGTTACCACAGGTACTTCCCACCACAGTGCTACCACAGGTACTTCCCACCAGTGTTACCACAGGTACCTCCCACCACAGTGTTACCGCAGGTACTTCCCACCAGTGTTACCACAGGTACTTCCCACCAGTGTTACCACAGGTACTTCCCACCACAGTGTTACCACAGGTACTTCCCACCAGTGTTACCACAGGTACTTCCCACCACAGTGTTACCACAGGTACTTCCCACCACAGTGTTACCACAGGTACTTCCCACCACAGTGTTACCACAGGTACTTCCCACCACAGTGTTGACACAGGTACTTCCCACCAGTGTTACCACAGGTACTTCCCACCAGTGTTACCACAGGTACTTCCCACCACAGTGTTACCACAGGTACTTCCCACCACAGTGTTGACACAGGTACTTCCCACCAGTGTTACCACAGGTACTTCCCACCACAGTGTTACCACAGGTACTTCCCACCAGTGTTACCACAGGTACTTCCCACCAGTGTTACCACAGGTACTTCCCACCACAGTGTTACCACAGGTACTTCCCACCAGTGTTACCACAGGTACTTCCCACCACAGTGTTACCGCAGGTACTTCCCACCAGTGTTACCACAGGTACTTCCCACCAGTGTTACCACAGGTACTTCCCACCACAGTGCTACCACTGGTACTTCCCACCACAGTGTTGACACAGGTACTTCCCACCACAGTGTTACCACAGGTACTTCCCACCACAGTGTTACCACAGGTACTTCCCACCAGTGTTACCACAGGTACTTCCCACCACAGTGTTACCACAGGTACTTCCCACCACAGTGTTCCCACAGGTACTTCCCACCACCAGTGTTACCACAGGTACTTCCCACCACAGTGTTACCACAGGTACTTCCCACCACAGTGTTACCACAGGTACTTCCCACCACAATGTTACCACAGGTACTTCCCACCACCAGTGTTACCATAGGTACTTCCCACCACCAGTGTTACCACAGGTACTTCCCACCACCAGTGTTACCACAGGTACTTCCCACCACAGTGTTGCCACAGGTACTTCCCACCAGTGTTACCACAGGTACTTCCCACCACAGTGTTACCACAGGTACTTCCCACCAGTGTTATTACAGGTACTTCCCACCACAATGCTACCACAGGTACTTCCCACCACAGTATTGCCACAGGTACTTCCCACCAGTGTTACCACAGGTACTTCCCACCACAGTGTTACCACAGGTACTTCCCACCAGTGTTACCACAGGTACTTCCCACCACAGTGCTACCACAGGTACTTCCCACCACAGTGTTGACACAGGTACTTCCCACCAGTGTTACCACAGGTACTTCCCACCACAGTGTTACCATAGGTACTTCCCACCAGTGTTACCACAGGTACTTCCCACCACAGTGTTACCACAGGTACTTCCCACCAGTGTTACCACAGGTACTTCCCACCACAGTGTTACCACAGGTACTTCCCACCAGTGTTACCACAGGTACTTCCCACCACAGTGCTACCACTGGTACTTCCCACCACAGTGTTGACACAGGTACTTCCCACCAGTGTTACCACAGGTACTTCCCACCACAGTGTTGACATAGGTACTTCCCACCAGTGTTACCACAGGTACTTCCCACCACAGTGTTACCACAGGTACTTCCCACGTGTTACCACAGGTACTTCCCACCACAGTGTTGACACAGGTACTTCCCACCAGTGTTACCACAGGTACTTCCCACTACAGTGTTGACATAGGTACTTCCCACCACAGTGTTACCATAGGTACTTCCCACCACAGTGTTACCATAGGTACTTCCCACTACAGTGTTGACATAGGTACTTCCCACCACAGTGTTACCATAGGTACTTCCCACTACAGTGTTGCCATAGGTACTTCCCACCACAGTGTTACCATAGGTACTTCCCACCAGTGTTACCACAGGTACTTCCAACCACAGTGTTATCATAGGTACTTCCCACTACAGTGTTGCCATAGGTACTTCCCACCACAGTGTTGCCATAGGTACTTCCCACCACAGTGTTACCACAGGTACTTCCCACCACAGTGTTACCATAGGTACTTCCCACCACCAGTGTTGATATAGGTACTTCCCACCAGTGTTACCACAGGTACTTCCCACCACAGCGTTACCACAGGTACTTCCCACCATTGTTACCACAGGTACTTCCCACCACAGTGTTACCACAGGTACTTCCCACCACAGTGTTGCCACAGGTACTTCCCACTACAGTGTTGCCACAGGTACTTCCCACCAGTGTTGCCACAGGTACTTCCCATCAAGTGTTACCACAGGTACTTCCCACCAGTGTTACCACAGGTACTTCCCACCACAGTGTTACCACAGGTACTTCCCACCAGTGTTACTAAAGGTACTTCCCACCAGTGTTACCACAGGTGCTTCCCACCACAGTGTTACCACAGGTACTTCCCACCAGTGTTACTACAGGTACTTCCCACCAGTGTTACCACAGGTACTTCCCACCACAGTGTTACCACAGGTACTTCCCACCAGTGTTACCACAGGTACTTCCCACCACAGTGTTACCACAGGTACTTCCCACCACAGTGTTACTACAGGTACTTCCCACCAGTGTTACCACAGGTACTTCCCACCACAGTGTTACCACAGGTACTTCCCACCAGTGTTACCACAGGTACTTCCCACCACAGTGTTACTACAGGTACTTCCCACCACAGTGTTACCACAGGTACTTCCCACCACAGTGTTACCACAGGTACTTCCCACCACAGTGTTACCACAGGTACTTCCCACCACAGTGTTACCACAGGTACTTCCCACCAGTGTTACCACAGGTACTTCCCACCACAGTGTTACCACAGGTACTTCCCACCAGTGTTACCACAGGTACTTCCCACCACAGTGTTACCACAGGTACTTCCCACCACAGTGTTACTACAGGTACTTCCCACCAGTGTTACCACAGGTACTTCCCACCACAGTGTTACCACAGGTACTTCCCACCACAGTGTTACCACAGGTACTTCCCACCACAGTGTTACCACAGGTACTTCCCACCACAGTGTTACCACAGGTACTTCCCACTACAGTGTTACCACAGGTACTTCCCACCACAGTGTTGCCACAGGTACTTCCCACCACAGTGTTACCACAGGTACTTCCCACCACCAGTGTTACCACAGGTACTTCCCACCACAGTGTTACCACAGGTACTTCCCACCAGTGTTACCACAGGTACTTCCCACCACAGTGTTACCACAGGTACTTCCCACCACAGTGTTACCACAGGTACTTCCCACCACAGTGTTACCACAGGTACTTCCCACCACAGTGTTACCACAGGTACTTCCCACTACAGTGTTACCACAGGTACTTCCCACCACAGTGTTACCACAGGTACTTCCCACCAGTGTTACCACAGGTACTTCCCACCACAGTGTTACCACAGGTACTTCCCACCAGTGTTACCACAGGTACTTCCCACCACAGTGTTACCACAGGTACTTCCCACCACAGTGTTACTACAGGTACTTCCCACCAGTGTTACCACAGGTACTTCCCACCACAGTGTTACCACAGGTACTTCCCACCACAGTGTTACCACAGGTACTTCCCACCAGTGTTACCATAGGTTATTCCCACCACAGTGTTGCCACAGGTACTTCCGACTACAGTGTTACCACAGGTACTTCCCACCACAGTGTTACCACAGGTACTTCCCACCACAGTGTTACTACAGGTACTTCCCACCAGTGTTACCACAGGTACTTACCAGTGTTACCACAGGTACCACCACAGTGTTACCACAGGTACTTCCCACCAGTGTTACCACAGGTACTTCCCACCACAGTGTTACTACAGGTACTTCCCACCACAGTGTTACCACAGGTACTTCCCACCAGTGTTACCACAGGTACTTCCCACCACAGTGTTGCCACAGGTACTTCCCACCACAGTGTTACCACAGGTACTTCCCACCACAGTGTTACCACAGGTACTTCCCACCAGTGTTACCACAGGTACTTCCCACCACAGTGTTACTACAGGTACTTCCCACCAGTGTTACCACAGGTACTTCCCACCACAGTGTTACCACAGGTACTTCCCACCAGTGTTACCACAGGTACTTCCCACCACAGTGTTACTACAGGTACTTCCCACCACAGTGTTACCACAGGTACTTCCCACCAGTGTTACCATCGGTTATTCCCACCACAGTGTTGCCACAGGTACTTCCGACTACAGTGTTACCACAGGTACTTCCCACCACAGTGTTACCACAGGTACTTCCCACCACAGTGTTACTACAGGTACTTCCCACCAGTGTTACCACAGGTACTTCCCACCACAGTGTTACCACAGGTACTTCCCACCAGTGTTACCACAGGTACTTCCCACCACAGTGTTACCACAGGTACTTCCCACCACAGTGTTACCACAGGTACTTCCCACCAGTGTTACCACAGGTACTTCCCACAACAGTGTTACCACAGGTACTTCCCACCAGTGTTACCACAGGTACTTCCCACCAGTGTTACTACAGGTACTTCCCACCACAGTGTTACCACAGGTACTTCCCTCCAGTGTTACCACAGGTTCTTCCCACTACAGTGTTGCCACAGGTACTTCCCACCAGTGTTACCACAGGTACTTCCCACCACAGTGTTGCCACAGGTACTTCCCACCACAGTGTTGCCACAGGTACTTCCCTCCAGTGTTACCACAGGTTCTTCCCACTACAGTGTTGCCACAGGTACTTCCCACCAGTGTTACCACAGGTACTTCCCACCAGTGTTGCCACAGGTACTTCCCACGACAGTGTTGCCACAGGTACTTCCCACCACAGTGTTGCCACAGGTACTTCCCACAACAGTGTTACCACAGGTACTTCCATTATTGTATTATGTGACATATTTAACACTATGATAAACTCTCCCCCCCCCCCTTATATACCTGAATTTACCTGAAGGCCACTAGTGGCCTCGACGAGGACAGGAAGCCCGCGGCTTGTCAAAGGAGCCCCCAATTTGCCTTGCAAAATAATGGTAATAATTGCAGTGGAATATTTTTTACAGTATTTAAGTATAGAGGAAAGTGACAGTGGTAGAGGAAAGTGACAGTGGTAGAGGAAAGTGACAGGGAGACACTTACCTGTAGACGTCAACCAGCTGGAGATGCGGTTACCTGTCACAGGTAAATGTTAACATTGTTAGTATATAAAATGTTAACATTGTCAGTATATAAACATCGTCACTTAACATTACAAGACGCGGTGTTGCCACCGTGCACAGTCTTTACTATTAACGTTAATTAGTACAATTCGTGACTATTATCACATGTGTGTATATTTACGATCATACACACACACACACACACACACACACACACACACACACACACACACACACACACACACACACACACACACACACACACACACACACACACACACACACACACACACACACACACACACACACACACACACACACACACACACACACACACACACACACACACACACACACACACACACACACACACACACACACACACACACACACACACACACACACACACACACACACACACACACACACACACACACACACACACACACACACACACACACACACATACACACACATATCGAAAAAAATAACTGAGCTAAGGCACACAGAGACAATAGTTTCCTCAACTTATTTAATATCAATATGTTCACACTTGAATTAAAAAAAAACTATACAAAAGGCCCAAAAAATTGTCTATTCAATATACGAAATAACAAAAAATATATAATATAGAAAGAATTTCATCCCACAATTTGAAAGAAGTGAAGGAATACCTGGTACTCACAGAATATGAGGCACAGAATATGAGGTACTCACAGAATATGAGGCACAGAATATGAGGCACTCACAGAATATGAGGCACTCACAGAATATGAGGCACTCACAGAATATGAGGTACTCACAGAATATGAGGCACTCACAGAATATGAGGTACTCACAGAATATGAGGTACTCACAGAATATGAGGTACTCACAGAATATGAGGTACTCACAGAATATGAGGTACTCACAGAATATGAGGTACTCACAGAATATGAGGTACTCACAGAATATGAGGTACTCACAGAATATGAGGTACTCACAGAATATGAGGCACAGAATATGAGGTACTCACAGAATATGAGGTACTCACAGAATATGAGGCACAGAATATGAGGTACTCACAGAATATGAGGTACTCACAGAATATGAGGTACTCACAGAATATGAGGTACTCACAGAATATGAGGTACTCACAGAATATGAGGTACTCACAGAATATGAGGTACTCACAGAATATGAGGTACTCACAGAATATGAGGTACTCACAGAATATGAGGCACAGAATATGAGGTACTCACAGAATATGAGGCACAGAATATGAGGTACTCACAGAATATGAGGCACAGAATATGAGGTACTCACAGAATATGAGGCACAGAATATGAGGTACTCACAGAATATGAGGCACAGAATATGAGGTACTCACAGAATATGAGGCACAGAATATGAGGTACTCACAGAATATGAGGCACAGAATATGAGGTACTCACAGAATATGAGGCACAGAATATGAGGTACTCACAGAATATGAGGCACAGAATATGAGGTACTCACAGAATATGAGGCACAGAATATGAGGTACTCACAGAATATGAGGTACTCACAGAATATGAGGTACTCACAGAATACGAGGTACTCACAGAATATGAGGTACTCACAGAATATGAGGTACTCACAGAATATGAGGTACTCACAGAATATGAGGTACTCACAGAATATGAGGTACTCACAGAATATGAGGTACTCACAGAATATGAGGTACTCACAGAATATGAGGTACTCACAGAATATGAGGTACTCACAGAATATGAGGTACTCACAGAATATGAGGTACTCACAGAATATGAGGTACTCACAGAATATGAGGTACTCACAGAATATGAGGTACTCACAGAATATGAGGTACTCACAGAATATGAGGTACTCACAGAATATGAGGTACTCACAGAATATGAGGTACTCACAGAATATGAGGTACTCACAGAATATGAGGTACTCACAGAATATGAGGTACTCACAGAATATGAGGTACTCACAGAATATGAGGTACTCACAGAATACTCACAGAATATGAGGTACTCACAGAATATGAGGTACTCACAGAATAAGAGGTTCTCACAGAATATGAGGTACTCACAGAATATGAGGTACTCACAGAATATGAGGTACTCACAGAATATGAGGTACTCACAGAATATGAGGTACTCACAGAATACCTGGTACTCACAGAATATGAGGTACTCACAGAATATGAGGTACTCACAGAATATGAGGTACTCACAGAATATGAGGTACTCACAGAATACCTGGTACTCACAGAATATGAGGTACTCACAGAATATGAGGTACTCACAGAATATGAGGTACTCACAGAATATGAGGTACTCACAGAATATGAGGTACTCACAGAATATGAGGTACTCACAGAATATGAGGTACTCACAGAATATGAGGTACTCACAGAATATGAGGTACTCACAGAATATGAGGTACTCACAGAATATGAGGTACTCACAGAATATGAGGTACTCACAGAATACCTGGTACTCACAGAATATGAGGTACTCACAGAATATGAGGTACTCACAGAATATGAGGTACTCACAGAATATGAGGTACTCACAGAATATGAGGTACTCACAGAATATGAGGTACTCACAGAATATGAGGTACTGAGGTACTCACAGAATATGAGGTACTCACAGAATATGAGGTACTCACAGAATATGAGGTACTCACAGAATATGAGGTACTCACAGAATATGAGGTACTCACAGAATATGAGGTACTCACAGAATATGAGGTACTCACAGAATATGAGGTACTCACAGAATATGAGGTACTCACAGAATATGAGGTACTCACAGAATATGAGGTACTCACAGAATATGAGGTACTCACAGAATATGAGGTACTCACAGAATATGAGGTACTCACAGAATATGAGGTACTCACAGAATATGAGGTACTCACAGAATATGAGGTACTCACAGAATATGAGGTACTCACAGAATATGAGGTACTCACAGAATATGAGGTACTCACAGAATATGAGGTACTCACAGAATATGAGGTACTCACAGAATATGAGGTACTCACAGAATATGAGGTACTCACAGAATATGAGGTACTCACAGAATATGAGGTACTCACAGAATATGAGGTACTCACAGAATATGAGGTACTCACAGAATATGAGGTACTCACAGAATATGAGGTACTCACAGAATATGAGGTACTCACAGAATATGAGGTACTCACAGAATATGAGGTACTCACAGAATATGAGGTACTCACAGAATATGAGGTACTCACAGAATATGAGGTACTCACAGAATATGAGGTACTCACAGAATATGAGGTACTCACAGAATATGAGGTACTCACAGAATATGAGGTACTCACAGAATATGAGGTACTCACAGAATATGAGGTACTCACAGAATATGAGGTACTCACAGAATATGAGGTACTCACAGAATATGAGGTACTCACAGAATATGAGGTACTCACAGAATATGAGGTACTCACAGAATATGAGGTACTCACAGAATATGAGGTACTCACAGGTGATCATGTGTCCGTACACTGTTGTTAGTGGCCATGTGTCCGTACACTGTTGTTAGTGGCCATGTGTACACTGTTGTTAGTGGCCATGTGTCCGTACACTGTTGTTAGTGGTCATGTGTCCGTACACTGTTGTTAGTGATCATGTGTCCGTACACTGTTGTTAGTGGCCATGTGTCCGTACACTGTTGTTAGTGATCATGTGTCCGTACACTGTTGTTAGTGGCCATGTCCGTACACTGTTGTTAGTGGCCAGGTGTCCGTCATGTGTCCGTACACTGTGTTGTTAGTGTACACTGTTGTTAGTGGCCATGTGTCCGTACACTGTTGTTAGTGGCCATGTGTCCGTACACTGTTGTTAGTCCGTACACTGTTGTTTAGTGATCATGGTCCGTACATGTTGTGGCCATGTGTACACTGTTGTTAGTGTCCGTACACTGTTGTTAGTGATCATGTGTCCGTACACTGTTGTTAGTGGCCATGTGTCCGTACACTGTTGTTAGTGGCCATGTGTCCGTACACTGTTGTTAGTGGCCATGTGTACACTGTTGTTAGTGGCCATGTGTACACTGTTGTTAGTGTGTACACTGTTGTTAGTGATCATGTGTCCGTACACTGTTGTTAGTGGCCATGTGTCCGTACACTGTTGTTAGTGGCCATGTGTCCGTACACTGTTGTTAGTGGCCATGTGTGTACACTGTTGTTAGTGGCCATGTGTCCGTACACTGTTGTTAGTGATCATGTGTCCGTACACTGTTGTTAGTGGCCATGTGTCCGTACACTGTTGTTAGTGATCATGTGTCCGTACACTGTTGTTAGTGGTCATGTGTACACTGTTGTTAGTGACCATGTGTCCGTACACTGTTGTTAGTGATCATGTGTACACTGTTGTTAGTGATCATGTGTCCGTACACTGTTGTTATGTGACCATGTGTCCGTACACTGTTGTTAGTGATCATGTGTCCGTACACTGTTGTTAGTGATCATGTGTACACTGTTGTTAGTGGCCATGTGTCCGTACACTGTTGTTAGTGGTCATGTGTCCGTACACTGTTGTTAGTGGCCATGTGTCCGTACACTGTTGTTAGTGATCATGTGTCCGTACACTGTTGTTAGTGATCATGTGTACACTGTTGTTAGTGGTCATGTGTCCGTACACTGTTGTTAGTGGTCATGTGTCCGTACACTGTTGTTAGTGGCCATGTGTCCGTACACTGTTGTTAGTGGCCATGTGTCCGTACACTGTTGTTAGTGGCCATGTGTACACTGTTGTTAGTGGCCATGTGTCCGTACACTGTTGTTAGTGGCCATGTGTCCGTACACTGTTGTTAGTGGCCATGTGTCCGTACACTGTTGTTAGTGACCATGTGTCCGTACACTGTTGTTAGTGGCCATGTGTACACTGTTTTGTTAGTGACCATGTGTCCGTACACTGTTGTTAGTGACCATGTGTCCGTACACTGTTGTTAGTGGCCATGTGTACACTGTTGTTAGTGACCATGTGTCCGTACACTGTTGTTAGTGACCATGTGTCCGTACACTGTTGTTAGTGGCCATGTGTACACTGTTGTTAGTGACCATGTGTCCGTACACTGTTGTTAGTGACCATGTGTCCGTACACTGTTGTTAGTGGCCATGTGTACACTGTTGTTAGTGACCATGTGTCCGTACACTGTTGTTAGTGACCATGTGTCCGTACACTGTTGTTAGTGACCATGTGTCCGTACACTGTTGTTAGTGATCATGTGTCCGTACACTGTTGTTAGTGGCCATGTGTACACTGTTGTTAGTGGTCATGTGTCCGTACACTGTTGTTAGTGGTCATGTGTCCGTACACTGTTGTTAGTGGCCATGTGTCCGTACACTGTTGTTAGTGGCCATGTGTCCGTACACTGTTGTTAGTGATCATGTGTACACTGTTGTTAGTGGCCATGTGTCCGTACACTGTTGTTAGTGGCCATGTGTCCGTACACTGTTGTTAGTGGCCATGTGTCCGTACACTGTTGTTAGTGACCATGTGTCCGTACACTGTTGTTAGTGGCCATATGTACACTGTTGTTAGTGACCATGTGTCCGTACACTGTTGTTAGTGACCATGTGTCCGTACACTGTTGTTAGTGGCCATGTGTACACTGTTGTTAGTGACCATGTGTCCGTACACTGTTGTTAGTGACCATGTGTCCGTACACTGTTGTTAGTGGCCATGTGTACACTGTTGTTAGTGATCATGTGTCCGTACACTGTTGTTAGTGGCCATGTGTCCGTACACTGTTGTTAGTGATCATGTGTCCGTACACTGTTGTTAGTGGCCATGTGTCCGTACACTGTTGTTAGTGGCCATGTGTCCGTACACTGTTGTTAGTGATCATGTGTCCGTACACTGTTGTTAGTGATCATGTGTACACTGTTGTTAGTGGCCATGTGTCCGTACACTGTTGTTAGTGGCCATGTGTCCGTACACTGTTGTTAGTGATCATGTGTCCGTACACTGTTGTTAGTGATCATGTGTCCGTACACTGTTGTTAGTGGCCATGTGTCCGTACACTGTTGTTAGTGGCCATGTGTCCGTACACTGTTGTTAGTGGCCATGTGTCCGTACACTGTTGTTAGTGGCCATGTGTACACTGTTGTTAGTGGCCATGTGTACACTGTTGTTAGTGGTCATGTGTCCGTACACTGTTGTTAGTGGTCATGTGTACACTGTTGTTAGTGGTCATGTGTCCGTACACTGTTGTTAGTGGCCATGTGTCCGTACACTGTTGTTAGTGATCATGTGTACACTGTTGTTAGTGACCATGTGTCCGTACACTGTTGTTAGTGGCCATGTGTCCGTACACTGTTGTTAGTGGCCATGTGTACACTGTTGTTAGTGACCATGTGTCCGTACACTGTTGTTAGTGGCCATGTGTACACTGTGTTAGTGACCATGTGTCCGTACACTGTTGTTAGTGACCATGTGTCCGTACACTGTTGTTAGTGGCCATGTGTACACTGTTGTTAGTGACCATGTGTCCGTACACTGTTGTTAGTGACCATGTGTCCGTACACTGTTGTTAGTGACCATGTGTACACTGTTGTTAGTGATCATGTGTCCGTACACTGTTGTTAGTGGCCATGTGTACACTGTTGTTAGTGGTCATGTGTCCGTACACTGTTGTTAGTGGTCATGTGTCCGTACACTGTTGTTAGTGGCCATGTGTCCGTACACTGTTGTTAGTGGCCATGTGTCCGTACACTGTTGTTAGTGGTCATGTGTACACTGTTGTTAGTGATCATGTGTCCGTACACTGTTGTTACCTGGTACCCACCCATTACCTGGTACTCACCCATTACCTGCTACCCACCCATTACCTGGTACTCACCCATTACCTGCTACCCACCCTTACCTGGTACTCACCCATTACCTGCTACCCACCCATTACCTGGTACTCACCCATTACCTGCTACCCACCCATTACATGGTACTCACCCATTACCTGCTACCCACCCATTACCTGGTACTCACCCATTACCTGCTACCCACCCATTACCTGGTACTCACCCATTACCTGCTACCCACCCATTACCTGCTACCCACCATTACCTGGTACCCACCCATTACCAGCTACCAACCCATTACCTGCTACCCACCATTACCTGGTACCCACCCATTACCTGCTACCCACCCATTACCTGGTACTCACCCATTACCTGCCACCCACCCATTACCTGGTACCCACCCATTACCTGGTACCCACCCATTACCTGCCACCCACCCATTACCTGGTACCCACCCATTACCTGGTACCCACCCATTACCTGCCACCCACCATTACCTGCCACCCACCCATTACCTGCTACCCACCCATTGCCTGGTACCCACCCATTACCTGGTACCCACCCATTACCTGGTACCCACCCATTGCCTGGTACCCACTCATTACCTGGTACTCACCCATTACCTGCCACCCACCCATTACCTGGTACTCACCCATTAACTGCCACCCACCATTACTGGTACTCACCCATTACCTGCCACCCACCCATTACCTGCTACTCACCCATTACCTGGTACTCACCCATTACCTGCCACCCACCCATTACCTGGTACCCACCATTACCTGGTACTCACCCATTACCTGCCACCCACCCATTACCTGCTACCCACCCATTACCTGGTACTCACCCATTACCTGCCACCCACCCATTACCTGCTACTCACCCAATACCTGCCACCCACCCATTACCTGCCACCCACCCATTACCTGCTACCCACCCATTGCCTGGTACCCACCCATTACCTGGTACCCACCCATTGCCTGGTACCCACCCATTACCTCGTACCCACCCATTACCTGGTACCCACCCATTGCCTGGTACCCACCCATTACCTCGTACTTACCCATTACCTGCCACCCACCCATTACCTGGTACCCACCCATTACCTGGTACTCACCCATTACCTGCCACCCACCCATTACCTGCTACCCACCCATTACCTGGTACTCACCCATTACCTGCCACCCACCCATTACCTGCTACTCACCCATTACCTGGTACTCACCCATTACCTGCCACCCACCCATTACCTGGTACTCACCATTACCTGCCACCCACCCATTACCTGGTACTCACCCATTACCTGCTACCCACCCATTACCTGCCACCCACCCATTAAATGGTACTCACCCATTACCTGCCACCCACCCATTACCTGCTACCCACCCATTACCTGGTACCCACCCATTACCTGCTACTCACCCATTACATTCCACCTACCCATTACCTGCCACCCACCCATTACCTGCCACCCACCCATTACCTGGTACCCACCCATTACCTGGTACCCACCCATTACCTGGTACCCACCCATTGCCTGGTACCCACTCATTACTGGTACTCACCCATTACCTGCCACCACCCATTACCTGGTACTCACCCATTAACTGCCACCCACCCATTACCTGGTACTCACCCATTACCTGCCACCCACCCATTACCTGCTACTCACCCATTACCTGGTACTCACCCATTACCTGCCACCCACCCATTACCTGGTACCCACCATTACCTGGTACTCACCCATTACCTGCCACCCACCCATTACCTGCTACCCACCCATTACCTGGTACTCACCCATTACCTGCCACCCACCCATTACCTGCTACTCACCCAATACCTGCCACCCACCCATTACCTGCCACCCACCCATTACCTGCTACCCACCCATTGCCTGGTACCCACCCATTACCTGGTACCCACCCATTGCCTGGTACCCACCCATTACCTCGTACCACCCATTACCTGGTACCACCCATTGCCTGGTACCCACCCATTACCTCGTACTTACCCATTACCTGCCACCCACCCATTACCTGGTACCCACCCATTACCTGGTACTCACCCATTACCTGCCACCCACCCATTACCTGCTACCCACCCATTACCTGGTACTCACCCATTACCTGCCACCCACCCATTACCTGCTACTCACCCATTACCTGCTACTCACCCATTACCTGCCACCCACCCATTACCTGGTACTCACCCATTACCTGCCACCCACCCATTACCTGGTACTCACCCATTACCTGCTACCCACCCATTACCTGCCACCCACCCATTACCTGGTACTCACCCATTACCTGCCACCCACCCATTACCTGCTACCCACCCATTACCTGGTACCCACCCATTACCTGCTACTCACCCATTACATTCCACCTACCCATTACCTGCCACCCACCCATTACCTGCCACCCACCCATTACCTGCCACCCACCCATTACCTGGTACTCACCCATTACCTGCCACCCACCCATTACCTACTACCCACTCATTACCTGGTACCCACCCATTACTGGTACTCACCCATTACCTGGTGCTCACCCATTACCTGGTACTCACCCATTACCTGCCACCCACCCATTACCTGGTACTCACCCATTACCTGCCACCCACCCATTACCTGCCACCCACCCATTACCTGGTACTCACCCATTACCTGCTACCCACCCATTACCTGCCACCCACCCACTACCTGGTACTCACCCATTACCTGCCACCCACCCATTACCTGCTACCCACCCATTACCTGGTACTCACCCATTACCTGCCACCCACCCATTACCTGCTACCCACCCATTACCTGGTACCCACCCATTACCTGCTACTCACCCATTACATTCCACCTACCCATTACCTGCCACCCACCCATTACCTGCCACCCACCCATTACCTGCCACCCACCCATACCTGGTACTCACCCATTACCTGCCACCCACCCATTACCTACTACCCACTCATTACCTGGTACCCACCCATTACCTGGTACTCACCCATTACCTGGTGCTCACCCATTACCTGGTACTCACCCATTACCTGCCACCCACCCATTACCTGGTACTCACCCATTACCTGCCACCCACCCATTACCTGCCACCCCACCCATTACCTGGTACTCACCCATTACCTGCTACCCACCCATTACCTGCCACCCACCCACTACCTGGTACTCACCCATTACCTGCCACCCACCCATTACCTGCTACCCACCCATTACCTGGTACCCACCCATTACCTGCTACTCACCCATTACCTGCCACCTACCCATTACCTGCCACCCACCCATTACCTGGTACTCACCCATTACCTGCCACCCACCCATTACCTGGTACTCACCCATTACCTGCCACCCCACCATTACCTGCCACCCACCCATTACCTGCTACCCACCCATTACCTGGTACTCACCCATTACCTGGTACTCACCATTACCTGGTACCCACCCATTACCTGCCACCCACCATTACCTGCTACCCACCCATTACCTGCCCCCCACCCATTACCTGGTACTCACCCATACCTGCCACCCACCATTACCTGCTACCCACCCATTACCTGCCACCCACCATTACCTGCTACCCACCCATTACCTGCCACCCACCCATTACCTGCCACCCACCATTACCTGCCACCCACCCATTACCTGCTACCCACCCATTACCTGCCACCCACCCATTACCTGCCACCCACCCATTACCTGCCACCCACCATTACCTGCCACCCACCCATTACCTGCCACCCACCCATTACCTGCCACCCACCATTACCTGCTACCCACCCATTACCTGCCACCCACCCATTACCTGCCACCCACCATTACCTGCCACCCACCCATTACCTGCCACCCACCCATTACCTGCCACCCACCATTACCTGCCACCCACCATTACCTGCCACCCACCCATTACCTGGTACCCACCCATTACCTGCCACCCACCATTACCTGCCACCCACCCATTACCTGCCACCCACCCATTACCTGCCACCCACCATTACCTGCCACCCACCCATTACCTGCCACCCACCCATTACCTGCCACCCACCCATTACCTGCCACCCACCATTACCTGCCACCCACCCATTACCTGCCACCCACCCATTACCTGCCACCCACCATTACCTGCCACCCACCATTACCTGCCACCCACCCATTACCTGGTACCCACCCATTACCTGCCACCCACCATTACCTGCCACCCACCATTACCTGCCACCCACCATTACCTGCCACCCACCCATTACCTGCCACCACCCATTACCTGCCACCCACCATTACCTGCCACCCACCATTACCTGCCACCCACCCATTACCTGCCACCCACCCAATACCTGCCACCCACCCATTACCTGGTACCCACCCATTACCTGCCACCCACCCATTACCTGCCACCCACCATTACCTGCCACCCACCATTACCTGCCACCCACCCATTACCTGCCACCCACCCATTACCTGCCACCCACCATTACCTGCTACCCACCCATTACCTGCCACCCACCCATTACCTGCCACCCACCATTACCTGCCACCCACCCATTACCTGCCACCCACCCATTACCTGCCACCCACCATTACCTGCCACCCACCCATTACCTGCCACCCACCCATTACCTGCTACCCACCCATTACCTGCCACCCACCCATTACCTGCCACCCACCCATTACCTGCCACCCACCATTACCTGCCACCCACCCATTACCTGCCACCCACCATTACCTGCCACCCACCCATTACCTGCCACCCACCCATTACCTGCCACCCACCATTACCTGCTACCCACCCATTACCTGCCACCCACCCATTACCTGCCACCCACCATTACCTGCCACCCACCCATTACCTGCCACCCACCATTACCTGCCACCCACCCATTACCTGCCACCCACCATTACCAGGAAGGTTCACCGTGCTGGGCCACCATTAGCACTACACCTTAAGGGACCCACCTGCCGCTCCCTCACCCTCGTCCTCCTGTAACAAACAACAAATTACTCCATTACATAACATTACATAACATTACATAACATTACATAACATTACATAACATTACATAACATTACATAACATTACATAACATTACATAACATTACATAACATTACATAACATTACATAACATTACATAACATTACATAACATTACATAACAAAAATAAAGAAAATTTTCAAACATATATATATATATATATATATATATATATATATATATATATATATATATATATATATGTATATATATATATTTATTTATTTATTTATTTATATATATATATACAAGAAGGTACATTGGGTTTGTGAGAATACATTGGATAGTACAGTATAAACATTCTTGTAAAGCCTCTAGTACGCACAGCGTTTCGGGCAGAAACGAAAAATATATTGTGCATAGTCGCTAATCTTGGAAAGTTCTTCACCGATTGCTCTGAAATTTTCACTCAACGTTCCATTCGCATCCGAGCAGTTATTATGTACACACTGTGTAGATGTCTGTCTGAAAAACTGTGGTGTTACAGAAACACAGTTTCTGAAAAGCTCAGTTTTTCATGAGAGGGAAATCTTCGAAACCTCTTCACCGATTGCTTTGAAATTTTGACACAACGTTGCATTCGAATAGGCGCGTCTTTTTATATATTTATTATATACATACCTCACCTGTGACAGGAAAAAATATGCTTGTTTTTAAAAACAGCGCCATCTGTTGGACGTAAGAGCAACACACGCTATACTAAATATGTTACGATTCCATTTCAGTGTTGCCGATTGCATTGACAAATTAAATTTTCATAGATTTCGATTTATTTTCAGTTCGATTAAATTATTTTCTTTGACATTGTGTTGGAATTAAGCTGTGTTGTTTACCGAACCGTTCATTTCCTGAGTATTGTTTATTTTTTAAATTTTTCATTTTTTTCATAACTTTTTTTTTTACTTTTTTTAATATAAAGAAATCCACAAGAGCCGTGATGAGGATTCGAACCTGCGTTCGGGAGCATCCCAAACACTGCCTTAATCGACTGAGCTACGACAGGGGTAAAAGACTTGAAACCGAAGTTCTACTGAACTTACTGGATCCTGCAGCCTCTCCGAGGCACAAACCAGGATTTTACACAACTCCCCCCTGCACCCGAGCTATGTTAATAGGCCGTTCTCCCTCTTCGCCCTTACATCATTACACACAGAGATCACACTAACGTGATGCATCAAATGAACATCAATAATTTGTTCAGTTGATGCATCACGTTAGTGTGATCTCTGTGTGTTTTTGTATATCTTTCAGTGACTGGAACATCAGATCATTTGGGAATACATCGGACGAGGGAGTAGGGAATGGTGGGGAGGACAAGGGACCGGGAAGGTTGCTGAGCCACAGCAACGCGTGCCCGGGTACAGCTAGTAAGATGTATCAATGAGATACAGCTATATTTATGATGTATCAATGAGAAAATGTGTCGGAGTGGTGAGTCCCAGACCGGTAGTATCCCGGTCCACCACCAGGGCTGGACCGGTAGTATCCCGGTCCACCACCAGGGCTGGACCGGTAGTATCCCGGTCCACCACCAGGGCTGGACCTGGTCAATGGACGCACCCAATCATCCCACCTAACCTATCCAGACCGATTGGTTGAATCTGTAAACTTCGCGACATATTTCCCGGGAGGACTGATTGTATATCATTGTTGTTGTGAGGAGTTTACATTGAGGATAGAGTGTACCTTAAGAGAGGCTGCGAGGTGCAGCCCGGCCACCACCACAACCCCGATGATCACTACTGCTCGCATGACTGCCGGCACGTATACCTCCTCTCACGTCTGGTGGGCGACTGTCGGGGAGCTGCTTGTGCCCCGCCTCCTCTTCTCTTCTGCGTCACGCATGCGCACTCGTTTCACCCACGCCTTACATGTGTCGTGGGTGTTGATGTCATAGTGGGCTTCGTTGGTAGCCCTTGTGTCGTGGGTGTTGATGTCATAGTGGGCTTCGTTGGTAGCCCTTGTGTCGTGGGTGGGGATGTCATAGTGGGCTTCGTAATAACCTTCAACCACCTTCAAGATGAATATGATGAGTGAGTATGCATTCAGGGAGGTCTCGGGGGGGGGGGGGAGGTGTGCACAGGTGTCCAGTTACACCTGCACAAACACACCTGTTTAAACACCTGTAATGATATGTCACCAACGCTCCTCATGTCACCTGTTTACGTTGAGTCATTGTAATCAACGTTATTTGAAGTGCTGTCAACCTGTCACTGCCAGGCACGTCTGGTGCCTGGTGGTGGCACAGTGCCACGTGAAAGACTTATACCAAAGGTAGAGGTTCATGGTATTGGGGGTGCTATATTAAGCTGGATTAGGGCATGGCTATACCAAAGGTAGAGGCTCATGGTATTGGGGGTGCTATATTAAGCTGGATTAGGGCATGGTTATACCAAAGGTAGAGGTTCATGGTATTGGGGTGCTATATTAAGCTGGATTAGGGCATGGCTATACCAAAGGTAGAGGTTCATGGTATTGGGGGTGCTATATTAAGCTGGATTAGGGCATGGTTATACCAAAGGTAGAGGCTCATGGTATTGGGGGTGCTATATTAAGCTGGATTAGGGCATGGTTATACCAAAGGTAGAGGTTCATGGTATTGGGGGTGCTATATTAAGCTGGATTAGGGCATGGCTATACCAAAGGAAACAGAGTTAGTATAAATAGGGTTAAGTCAGAGTGGGAACTATTGTAAGTGGAGTGCCTCAAGGCTCTGTCTTTTGACCATTTCAAAACTTTATTTAGATCGTCTTGAAGTGGTAGTGAATCTTTTTCCGTGTTTATTTTCCTCCTGTTTTTTCTATCATCAGCAAATTTGCAAATGTTGCTACTCAAACCTGAATCTAAATCATTTATATATATTATAAACAACAGAGGGTCCCAGGACAGAGCCTTGAGGCACTCACATTAGCTACCTTCCATGACTCTGGCACTCTGCCTGACTCTATTGATTTATTAAATATGGTAGACAGTGGCTCGGAAAGCTCCTCTTTGCATTCTTTAAGCACCCTGGCAAACACTTCATCCGGCCCTGGGGATTTGTTTGGTTTTAGTTTTTCTATTGTTTAAGAACATCCTCCCTGGTAACTGCTAAACTCGTCAACCTGTCCTCGTCCCCACCCACATAGACTTGTTCGGCTGAAGGCATATTGTTAAGTTCTTCTTTAGTAAATACATATATAAATTATTTATTACAAATACTACTCATCTCTTCGTCATTATCAGTTATCTGACCTGTCTCAGTTTTTAATGGACCTATCCTTTCCTTAACCTTTGTTCGATATGACTGAAAAAAACCTATAGCTTTTGCCTTTGTTTGGCCTGTTATACGAACTTAATAGTTTCTTTTTGCTTTCCTAATCTCTTTTTTAACATTTCTAACCAGTTGTACGAATTCCTGTTCTAACCTGACTTCCCCATTCTTAATCCTTTTGTACCAAGCTCTCTTTTTACCTATAAGGTTCTTTAAATTATTTGTTATCCACTTTGGGTCATTAGTATTCGATCTATTCAATTTATATGGTATACTACGTTCCTGGGCTTTGTTTAGAATATTTTTAAAGAATTCATATTTTGAATCCACATCGAAATTCCTTTTTACGTCACCTATCGCTGGGTTCATGTCTCGCTCCAAGACCGGCCCACTCCCCATACCCAAGAGTTTCCAATCTATTTCAACCAAAAATTTCTTTGGGAATAGAATGAGCTTTTCAAAAATCTGGCACTTAAACAGAATTTTCTCCTACAGGTCTATTCCATTCTATGCTAAATCAGATTTCTTTGTGATCACTGCTCCCTAGCTCACTCCCTATTTCGATGTCATTAATTTGTGTTTCCCTGTTAGTTAACACTAAATCTAAAATATTATTTTCCCGTGTTGGTTCCTTAATGTGTTGCGTAAGAAAGCAATCGTCAATTAATTCTAGAAAATCTTCTGCTTCACTATTCCCTGTTTTGTTCACCCAGTTTATTCCACTAAAATTAAAGTCACCCATGACATAAATACTGTTAGATCTAGATGCTCTAGATATTTCATCCCATAGATGCTTTGCTTCCATTCTGTCTAAATTTGGTGGCCTATATATAACTCCTATTATAAGATTATTAGCTTTTTCGTTTAATTCTAGCCAAATAGTTTCTGTGTGTGGCTCTGTTTTGATTCCCTCTTTGAGACTACATTTCAAATTGTCCCTAACATATATGGCTCCTCCCCCTCCTCGTCTAATATATCTATCAGTGTGAAATAATTTAAATCCATTTATTTTACGGATTTAAATATGCCTTTTGAAGTTATCTTTACTCTCATGTACAGGTTGTACGAGTGTGTGGTCTCTCCTCATCTACGGGGTAGGTAGTCTGGCCATCGAGAAGTTCTACCGCGTCTACCACTCTACCATTCCTCTACCTCTACGAGGCCTCATCTACGTGTTCTGGACCTACGTCTGGGAGTTCTCTACAGGTAGATAATGCTCTAGTAGATATATCTACTTATATTATCTCACAATTGTTGATTAATGTATATTAATTAATCATTATTATCCAATTGTCAGGGCTGTTGCTGAGGACGTTCGCCGAGTGTCCCTGGGACTATGGGGATAGAAGCTACAATGTGGCGGGTCTGGTGACCCTCGAGTACTTCCCGGCCTGGTACCTCCTATCCATCACCACCGAGCAGTTCCTCATCCACAACCTCCTCTACCTCTCCCTCTATCCCGAGGACCCCCATAACCGCCTCCACCATAAGGGATAGATCCCCCTCCCCCCTCTCAGGCCGTCCCAGCGAGGTGTCCTTACTCGTCCGAGCCGCGGCCGAGCAGTCCCATCTTCAAGACACTCGTCCGAGCCGCGGCCGAGCAGTCCCACCTTCAAGACACTCGTCCGAGCCGCGGCCGAGCAGTCCCATCTTCAAGACACTCGTCCGAGCCGCGGCCGAGCCATCCCATCTCCAGGACACTCGTCCGAGCCGCGGCCGAGCAGTCCCATCTTCACGACACTCGTCCGAGCGCCGGCCGAGCAGTCCCACCCTCACGACACTCGTCCGAGCCGCGGCCGAGCAGTCCCACCTCCAGGACACTCGTCCGAGCGCCGGCCGAGCACTCCCACCTCCAGGACACTCGTCCGAGCGCCGGCCGAGCACTCCCACCTCCAGGACACTCGTCCGAGCGCCGGCCGAGCAGTCCCACCCTCACGACACTCGTCCGAGCGCCGGCCGAGCAGTCCCACCTTCAAGACACTCGTCCGAGCGCCGGCCGAGCAGTCCCACCCTCACGACACTCGTCCGAGCGCCGGCCGAGCAGTCCCACCTTCAAGACACTCGTCCGAGCGCCGGCCGAGCAGTCCCACCCTCACGACACTCGTCCGAGCGCCGGCCGAGCACTCCCACCTCCAGGACACTCGTCCGAGCGCCGGCCGAGCACTCCCACCTCCAGGACACTCGTCCGAGCGCCGGCCGAGCACTCCCACCTCCAAGACACTCGTCCGAGCGCCGGCCGAGCACTCCCACCTCCAGGACACTCGTCCGAGCGCCGGCCGAGCACTCCCACCTCCAAGACACTCGTCCGAGCGCCGGCCGAGCACTCCCACCTCCAGGACACTCGTCCGAGCGCCGGCCGAGCACTCCCACCTCCAGGACACTCGTCCGAGCGCCGGCCGAGCACTCCCACCTCCAGGACACTCGTCCGAGCGCCGGCCGAGCACTCCCACCTCCAGGACACTCGTCCGAGCGCCGACCGAGCCCAAAAGACACAAATTACAACGTGTTATATAAACAAAAAACTTGTCTCCTAATATGTATATTATATAAATATTATAATTGCATGTACAGTTAGGCCTAAGTTAGGCCTCAGGTAGGCCTAAGTTAGGCCTCAGGTAGGCCTAAGTTAGGCCTCAGGTAGGTTAGGTTAGTTGTTTTAGATATATACATTTATATATATTTAGATATAGGTATACAGGTAACAGTCTACCTGCACCAGGTATACAGGCAACAGTCTACCTATACCTGGTATACTGGGAACAGTCTACCTATACCTGGTATACTGGGAACAGTCTACCTATACCAGGTATACTGGGAACAGTCTACCTGTACCAGGTATACTGGGAACAGTCTACCTATACCTGGTATACTGGGAACAGTCTACCTATACCTGGTATACTGGGAACAGTCTACCTATACCTGGTATACTGGGAACAGTCTACCTATACCTGGTATACTGGGAACAGTCTACCTATACCTGGTATACAGGCAACAGTCTACCTATACCAGGTATACAGGCAACAGTCTACCTATACCAGGTATACAGGCAACAGTCTACCTATACCAGGTATACTGGGAACAGTCTACCTATACCTGGTATACAGGCAACAGTCTACCTATACCTGGTATACTGGGAACAGTCTACCTATACCAGGTATACAGGCAACAGTCTACCTATACCTGGTATACTGGGAACAGTCTACCTATACCTGGTATACTGGGAACAGTCTACCTATACCAGGTATACTGGGAACAGTCTACCTATACCAGGTATACATAAGAACATAAGAACATAAGAACAAAGGTAACTGCAGAAGGCCTATTGGCCCATACGAGGCAGCTCCTATTCTATAACCACCCAATCCCACTCATATACTTGTCCAACCCGTGCTTGAAACAATCGAGGGACCCCACCTCCACAATGTTACGCGGCAATTGGTTCCACAAATCAACAACCCTGTTACTGAACCAGTATTTACCCAAGTCTTTCCTAAATCTAAACTTATCCAATTTATATCCATTGTTTCGTGTTCTGTCCTGTGTTGATACTTTTAATACCCTATTAATATCCCCCCGGTTTTGTCCATTCATCCACTTGTAAACCTCTATCATGTCACCCCTAACTCTTCGCCTTTCCAGTGAATGCAACTTAAGCTTTGTTAATCTTTCTTCATATGAAAGATTTCTAATTTGGGGAATTAACTTAGTCATCCTACGCTGGACACGTTCAAGTGAATTTATATCCATTCTATAATATGGCGACCAAAACTGAACTGCATAATCTAAATGGGGCCTAACTAGAGCAAGATATAGCTTGAGAACCACACCAGGTGTCTTGTTACTAACGCTGCGATTAATAAATCCAAGTGTCCGATTTGCCTTATTACGAACATTTATGCATTGATCCTTTTGTTTTAAATTCTTACTAATCATAACTCCCAGATCCCTTTCGCAATCCGACTTCGCAATCACAACACCATCTAGCTCGTATCTTGTAACTCTATCATCATTACCTAACCTCAGAACTTTACATTTATCAGCATTAAACTGCATCTGCCAATCCTTTGACCATTTCAAAACCCTATCTAGATCAACTTGAAGTGATAGTGAGTCCTCCTCCGAATTGATTTCCCTACCGATTTTCGTATCATCGGCAAATTTGCAAATGTTGCTACTCAAACCTGAATCTAAATCATTTATATATATTATAAACAACAGAGGTCCCAGGACAGAGCCTTGAGGCACTCCACTTACAACATTTTCCCACTCTGACTTGATTCCATTTATACTAACTCTCTGTTTCCTTTGGTATAGCCATGCCCTAATCCAGCTTAATATAGCACCCCCAATACCATGAGACTCTATTTTTTTAATCAGTCTTTCATGTGGCACTGTATCAAAAGCTTTGCTAAAGTCAAGGTATACAACATCGCAATCCTTACCACTATCAACTGCCTCAACAATGCTAGAATAAAAAGATAACAAATTTGTTAAACATGAACGGCCATTTATAAAACCATGTTGCGACTCAATTATTAATTTATGTTTTTCAAGATGAAGACGAATTTTATTTGCTATTATAGATTCGAGTAACTTTCCCACAATAGACGTTAGGCTAATTGGTCGATAGTTAGACGCAAGTGATCTATCTCCTTTCTTAAAAACTGGTATCACATTAGCAACTTTCCAAAACTCTGGCACTCTGCCTGACTCTATTGATTTATTAAATATGGTTGACAGTGGGTCACAAAGCTCCTCTTTGCATTCTTTAAGCACCCTAGCAAACACTTCATCCGGCCCTGGGGATTTGTTTGGTTTGAGTTTTACTATTTGTTTAAGAACATCCTCCCTGGTAACTGCTAAACTCGTCAACCTGTCCTCGTCCCCCACCCACATAGACTTGTTCGGCTGAAGGCATATTGTTAAGTTCCTCTTTAGTAAATACAGATACAAAATATTTATTAAAAATACTACTCATCTCTTCATCACTATCTGTTATTTGACCTGTCTCAGTTTTTAATGGACCTATCCTTTCCCTAGTCTTAGTACGATATAACTGAAAAAACCCTTTAGGATTTGTCTTTGCTTGCCCTGCTATGCGAACTTCATAGTTTCTTTTTGCTTTCCTTATCTCTTTTTTAACATTTCTAACCAGTTGTACGAATTCCTGTTCTAAAGTGACCTCCCCATTTTTAATCCTTTTGTACCAAGCTCTCTTTTTACCTATAAGGTTCTTCAAATTCTTTGTTATCCACTTTGGGTCATTAGTATACGATCTATTCAATTTGTATGGTATACTACGTTCCTGTGCTTTGTTTAGAATATTCTTAAATAATTTATATATTGAATCCACATCGAAATCCCCATTTAAGTCACCTATCGCTGGGTTCATGTCTCGCTCCAAGACCGGCCCACACCCCATACCCAAGCCATTCCAATCAATTTGACCCAAAAAATTTCTTAGGCTATTAAAATCAGCTTTTCGAAAATCTGGCACTTTAACAGAATTTTCTCCTACTGGTCTATTCCATTCTATGCTAAATCTGATTTCTTTGTGATCACTGCTCCCTAGCTCACTCCCTATTTCGATGTCATTAATTTGCGTTTCCCTGTTAGTTAACACTAAATCTAAAATATTATTTTCCCGTGTTGGTTCCTTAATGTGTTGCGTAAGAAAGCAATCGTCAATTAATTCTAGAAAATCTTCTGCTTCACTATTCCCTGTTTTGTTCAACCAGTTTATTCCGCTAAAATTAAAGTCACCCATGACATAAATACTGTTAGATCTAGATGCTCTAGATATTTCATCCCATAGATGCTTTGCTTCCATTCTGTCTAAATTTGGTGGCCTATATATTACTCCTATTATAATATTATTAGCTTTTTCGTTTAATTCAATCCAAATAGTTTCTGTGTGTGGCTCTGTTTTGATTCCCTCTTTGAGACTACATTTCAAATTGTCCCTAACATATATGGCTACTCCACCTCCTCGTCTAATATATCTATCTGTGTGAAATAGTTTAAATCCATATATTTGATATTCAGCTTATAGTTCTCTATTTTCTACATTCATCCACGTTTCGGTAAGTGCAATAATATCTATTTTTTCTGTGCAGACAAGAGCATTTAATTCGTTAATTTTATTTCTTAGACTTCTACTGTTAGTGTAATATACCCTAAGTGAATTGTTATTTTGCGGACCTTCTCTTTCCCTGATCGTTTTGCCAATTCCTTTCTCCCACAAACACATACTTTTATTACCTCCTTCCTCCAAATCAATTCCCATACCTCTAACTACTAACAGTTTAAACCCAAACAAACACCTCTAACCACTTCTTCTAGCGAGTTCGCAACAGCAACAACCCCAGCTCTCGATAGATGCACCCCATCACGAGCATACATTTCATTTCTTCCATAGAAGTGTTCCCAGTTGTCTATGAAAGATATTGCATTTGATTTGCAATATCTTTCCAGCCGGCAATTGACACCAAGTGCCCTCGATATCCATTCATTTCCCACTCCCTTTCTTGGAAGAATGCCACATATGATCGGGATTCCTCCCTTGCTCCTAACTAACTCTATGGCTGTTTTATACCTCTGAATCAGTTCCTCACTCCTGACTCGACCAACATCATTTCCTCCCACGCTAATGCAAATAATGGGATTGTTCCCATTACCAGCCATAATATCATTCATGTTGTTTATAATATCACCAATGCCAGCTCCGGGATAGCAAACCCTTAACCTGTTCCCCCTATCTCTAGCACAAAACGTTCTATCCAAATACCTTATCTGGGAATCTCCCACAACTAATGTTTGCTTAGGTACTTCCTTTACTTTCTGAGGGGCCTGCGCTTCCTTTCTCTTCGTTGCTTTCCCTTTTGCGCGATCCACAGTCTCTCCACAGCACTCGTCCTCCAAAACGTCAAATGAATTTGAAGTTGCTATGGCGTTTGAAGGCGGCTTTATCAAAGTCTTCTTAAGGCCCCTGTCTTTCGCAACTCTCCAAGACGAGGTCCCTTTACTGCTGGTCTCCTCCTTCGTTACTTCTCGTAGTTTTTTAAGCTGACGCACCTCCTCCCGCAGAGAGTCCAACTCTGTCCTCAGGGCTCCACTAGAGTCACCAGGTCCTTCACTACAACTTCCATATTGCTATAACAACACTCAGGAGCTCCGGTTAACACAACCTCTCACTGTGACTTCACCTGACCGACTGATACTAACTCTCTGTTTCCTTTTGAAACAGGCAACAGTCTACCTATACCTGGTATACTGGGAACAGTCTACCTATACCTGGTATACAGGCAACAGTCTACCTATACCAGGTATACAGGCAACAGTCTACCTATACCAGGTATAAGAACATAAGAACATAAGAACAAAGGTAACTGCAGAAGGCCTATTGGCCCACACGAGGCAGCTCCTATTCTATAACCACCCAATCCCACTCATATACTTGTCCAACCCGTGCTTGAAACAATCGAGGGACCCCACCTCCACAATGTTACGCGGCAATTGGTTCCACAAATCAACAACCCTGTTACTGAACCAGTATTTACCCAAGTCTTTCCTAAATCTAAACTTATCCAATTTATACCCATTGTTTCGTGTTCTGTCCTGTGTTGATACTTTTAATACCCTATTAATATCCCCCCGGTTATGTCCATTCATCCACTTGTAAACCTCTATCATGTCACCCCTAACTCTTCGCCTCTCCAGTGAATGCAACTTAAGCTTTGTTAATCTTTCTTCATATGAAAGATTTCTAATTTGGGGAATTAACTTAGTCATCCTACGCTGGACACGTTCAAGTGAATTTATATCCATTCTATAATATGGCGACCAAAACTGAACTGCATAATCTAAATGGGGCCTAACTAGAGCAAGATATAGCTTGAGAACCACACCAGGTGTCTTGTTACTAACGCTGCGATTAATAAATCCAAGTGTCCGATTTGCCTTATTACGAACATTTATGCATTGATCCTTTTGTTTTAAATTCTTACTAATCATAACTCCCAGATCCCTTTCGCAATCCGACTTCGCAATCACAACACCATCTAGCTCGTATCTTGTAACTCTATCATCATTACCTAACCTCAGAACTTTACATTTATCAGCATTAACTGCATCTGCCAATCCTTTGACCATTTCAAAACCCTATCTAGATCAACTTGAAGTGATAGTGAGTCCTCCTCCGAATTAATTTCCCTACCGATTTTCGTACCATCGGCAAATTTGCAAATGTTGCTACTCAAACCTGAATCTAAATCATTTATATATATTATAAACAACAGAGGTCCCAGGACAGAGCCTTGAGGCACTCCACTTACAACATTTTCCCACTCTGACTTGATTCCATTTATACTAACTCTCTGTTTCCTTTGGTATAGCCATGCCCTAATCCAGCTTAATATAGCACCCCCAATACCATGAGACTCTATCTTTTTAATCAGTCTTTCATGTGGCACTGTATCAAAAGCTTTGCTAAAGTCAAGGTATACAACATCGCAATCCTTACCACTATCAACTGCCTCAACAATGCTAGAATAAAAAGATAACAAATTTGTTAAACATGAACGGCCATTTATAAAACCATGTTGCGACTCAATTATTAATTTATGTTTTTCAAGATGAAGACGAATTTTATTTGCTATTATAGATTCGAGTAACTTTCCCACAATAGACGTTAGGCTAATTGGTCGATAGTTAGACGCAAGTGATCTATCTCCTTTCTTAAAAACTGGTATCACATTAGCAACTTTCCAAAACTCTGGCACTCTGCCTGACTCTATTGATTTATTAAATATGGTTGACAGTGGGTCACAAAGCTCCTCTTTGCATTCTTTAAGCACCCTAGCAAACACTTCATCCGGCCCTGGGGATTTGTTTGGTTTGAGTTTTACTATTTGTTTAAGAACATCCTCCCTGGTAACTGCTAAACTCGTCAACCTGTCCTCGTCCCCACCCACATAGACTTGTTCGGCTGAAGGCATATTGTTAAGTTCCTCTTTAGTAAATACAGATACAAAATATTTATTAAAAATACTACTCATCTCTTCATCACTATCTGTTATTTGACCTGTCTCAGTTTTTAATGGACCTATCCTTTCCCTTAACCTGGTATACCTGGTATACAGGCAACAGTCTACCTATACCTGGTATACTGGGAACAGTCTACCTATACCTGGTATACTGGGAACAGTCTACCTATACCAGGTATACAGGCAACAGTCTACCTATACCTGGTATACTGGGAACAGTCTACCTATACCTGGTATACTGGGAACAGTCTACCTATACCAGGTATACAGGCAACAGTCTACCTATACCAGGTATACAGGCAACAGTCTACCTATACCAGGTATACTGGGAACAGTCTACCTATACCAGGTATACTGGGAACAGTCTACCTATACCAGGTATACAGGCAACAGTCTACCTATACCAGGTATACAGGCAACAGTCTACCTATACCTGGTATACTGGGAACAGTCTACCTATACCAGGTATACTGGGAACAGTCTACCTATACCAGGTATACTGGGAACAGTCTACCTATACCTGGTATACTGGGAACAGTCTACCTATACCAGGTATACTGGGAACAGTCTACCTATACCTGGTATACTGGGAACAGTCTACCTATACCAGGTATACTGGGAACAGTCTACCTATACCAGGTATACTGGGAACCATTAAGCGGTTAGAGAACACAATAGAGCACCAGCACCACGCCAGGCAGCACGTGTAGGCAGCAGCTATTGGGCTCCTCCCCTCTCTCATGGGAAGAGCCCTGGGTAAATACTGGTTTCGAAATATGGTTGCTGATTTATGGAACAATTAACGGATAACATATGTGGTGGGGGGGGGGCATTGCTTGTTGGACTCGTATGGACCAATAGGAGCTTCCTCGTATGGACCAATAGGAGCTTCCTCGTATGGACCAATAGGAGCTGTCTCGTATGGACCAAGAGCAGTTGACTAGTATGGACCAATTAGAGCTGCCTTTTTGGACCAATAGCAGCGGCCTAGTATGGGCCAGTAACAGCTGTGTCGTATGGACCAATAGCAGCTGCCTCGTATGGACCAATAGGAGCTGTCTCGTATGGACCAATAGGAGCTGCCTCGTATGGACCAATAGGAGCTGCCTCGTATGGACCAATAGCAGCTGCCTCGTATGGACCAATAGCAGCTGCCTCGTATGGACCAATAGCAGCTGCCTCGTATGGACCAATAGCAGCTGCCTCGTATGGACCAATAGGAGCTGCCTCGTATGGACCAATAGCAGCTGCCTCGTATGGACCAATAGGAGCTGCCTCGTATGGACCAATAGGAGCTGCCTCGTATGGACCAATAGGAGCTGCCTCGTATGGACCAATAGCAGCTGCCTCGTATGGACCAATAGCAGCTGCCTCGTATGGACCAATAGCAGCTGCCTCGTATGGACCAATAGCAGCTGCCTCGTATGGACCAATAGCAGCTGCCTCGTATGGACCAATAGCAGCTGCCTCGTATGGACCAATAGGAGCTGCCTCGTATGGACCAATAGCAGCTGCCTCGTATGGACCAATAGGAGCTGCCTCGTATGGACCAATAGGAGCTGCCTCGTATGGACCAATAGCAGCTGCCTCGTATGGACCAATAGCAGCTGCCTCGTATGGACCAATAGCAGCTGCCTCGTATGGAACAATAGGAGCTGCCTCGTATGGACCAATAGGAGCTGCCTCGTATGGACCAATAGCAGCTGCCTCGTATGGACCAATAGCAGCTGCCTCGTATGGACCAATAGGAGCTGCCTCGTATGGACCAATAGGAGCTGCCTCGTATGGACCAATAGGAGCTGCCTCGTATAGACCAATAGGAGCTGCCTCGTATGGACCAATAGGAGCTGCCTCGTATGGACCAATAGGAGCTGCCTCGTATGGACCAATAGGAGCTGCCTCGTATGGACCAATAGGAGCTGCCTCGTATGGACCAATAGGAGCTGCCTCGTATGGACCAATAGGAGCTGCCTCGTATGGACCAATAGGAGCTGCCTCGTATGGACCAATAGGAGCTGCCTCGTATGGACCAATAGGAGCTGCCTCGTATGGACCAATAGGAGCTGCCTCGTATGGACCAATAGGAGCTGCCTCGTATGGACCAATAGGAGCTGCCTCGTATGGACCAATAGGAGCTGCCTCGTATGGACCAATAGCAGCTGCCTCGTATGGACCAATAGGAGCTGCCTCGTATGGACCAATAGCAGCTGCCTCGTATGGACCAATAGCAGCTGCCTCGTATGGACCAATAGGAGCTGCCTCGTATGAACCAATAGGAGCTGCCTCGTATGGACCAATAGGAGCTGCCACGTATGGACCAATAGCAGCTGCCTCGTATGGACCAATAGGAGCTGCCTCGTATGGACCAATAGGAGCTGCCTCGTATGGACCAATAGGAGCTGCCTCGTATGGACCAATAGGAGCTGCCTCGTATGGACCAATAGGAGCTGCCTCGTATGGACCAATAGCAGCTGCCTCGTATGGACCAATAGCAGCTGCCTCGTATGGACCAATAGGAGCTGCCTCGTATGGACCAATAGGAGCTGCCTCGTATGGACCAATAGGAGCTGCCTCGTATGGACCAATAGGAGCTGCCTCGTATGGACCAATAGCAGCTGCCTCGTATGGACCAATAGCAGCTGCCTCGTATGGACCAATAGGAGCTGCCTCGTATGGACCAATAGGAGCTGCCTCGTATGGACCAATAGGAGCTGCCTCGTATGGACCAATAGGAGCTGCCTCGTATGGACCAATAGCAGCTGCCTCGTATGGACCAATAGGAGCTGCCTCGTATGGACCAATAGGAGCTGCCTCGTATGGACCAATAGGAGCTGCCTCGTATAAGAACATAAGAACATAAGAACAAAGGTAACTGCAGAAGGCCTATTGGCCCATACGAGGCAGCTCCTATTCTATAACCACCCAATCCCACTCATATACTTGTCCAACCCGTGCTTGAAACAATCGAGGGACCCCACCTCCACAATGTTACGCGGCAATTGGTTCCACAAATCAACAACCCTGTTACTGAACCAGTATTTACCCAAGTCTTTCCTAAATCTAAACTTATCCAATTTATATCCATTGTTTCGTGTTCTGTCCTGTGTTGATACTTTTAATACCCTATTAATATCCCCCCGGTTATGTCCATTCATCCACTTGTAAACCTCTATCATGTCACCCCTAACTCTTCGCCTTTCCAGTGAATGCAACTTAAGCTTTGTTAATCTTTCTTCATATGAAAGATTTCTAATTTGGGGAATTAACTTAGTCATCCTACGCTGGACACGTTCAAGTGAATTTATATCCATTCTATAATATGGCGACCAAAACTGAACTGCATAATCTAAATGGGGCCTAACTAGAGCAAGATATAGCTTGAGAACCACACCAGGTGTCTTGTTACTAACGCTGCGATTAATAAATCCAAGTGTCCGATTTGCCTTATTACGAACATTTATGCATTGATCCTTTTGTTTTAAATTCTTACTAATCATAACTCCCAGATCCCTTTCGCAATCCGACTTCGCAATCACAACACCATCTAGCTCGTATCTTGTAACTCTATCATCATTACCTAACCTCAGAACTTTACATTTATCAGCATTAAACTGCATCTGCCAATCCTTTGACCATTTCAAAACCCTATCTAGATCAACTTGAAGTGATAGTGAGTCCTCCTCCGAATTAATTTCCCTACCGATTTTCGTATCATCGGCAAATTTGCAAATGTTGCTACTCAAACCTGAATCTAAATCATTTATATATATTATAAACAACAGAGGTCCCAGGACAGAGCCTTGAGGCACTCCACTTACAACATTTTCCCACTCTGACTTGATTCCATTTATACTAACTCTCTGTTTCCTTTGGTATAGCCATGCCCTAATCCAGCTTAATATAGCACCCCCAATACCATGAGACTCTATCTTTTTAATCAGTCTTTCATGTGGCACTGTATCAAAAGCTTTGCTAAAGTCAAGGTATACAACATCGCAATCCTTACCACTATCAACTGCCTCAACAATGCTAGAATAAAAAGATAACAAATTTGTTAAACATGAACGGCCATTTATAAAACCATGTTGCGACTCAATTATTAATTTATGTTTTTCAAGATGAAGACGAATTTTATTTGCTATTATAGATTCGAGTAACTTTCCCACAATAGACGTTAGGCTAATTGGTCGATAGTTAGACGCAAGTGATCTATCTCCTTTCTTAAAAACTGGTATCACATTAGCAACTTTCCAAAACTCTGGCACTCTGCCTGACTCTATTGATTTATTAAATATGGTTGACAGTGGGTCACAAAGCTCCTCTTTGCATTCTTTAAGCACCCTAGCAAACACTTCATCCGGCCCTGGGGATTTGTTTGGTTTGAGTTTTACTATTTGTTTAAGAACATCCTCCCTGGTAACTGCTAAACTCGTCAACCTGTCCTCGTCCCCACCCACATAGACTTGTTCGGCTGAAGGCATATTGTTAAGTTCCTCTTTAGTAAATACAGATACAAAATATTTATTAAAAATACTACTCATCTCTTCATCACTATCTGTTATTTGACCTGTCTCAGTTTTTAATGGACCTATCCTTTCCCTAGTCTTAGTACGATATAACTGAAAAAACCCTTTAGGATTTGTCTTTGCTTGCCCTGCTATGCGAACTTCATAGTTTCTTTTTGCTTTCCTTATCTCTTTTTTAACATTTCTAACCAGTTGTACGAATTCCTGTTCTAAAGTGACCTCCCCATTTTTAATCCTTTTGTACCAAGCTCTCTTTTTACCTATAAGGTTCTTCAAATTCTTTGTTATCCACTTTGGGTCATTAGTATACGATCTATTCAATTTGTATGGTATACTACGTTCCTGTGCTTTGTTTAGAATATTCTTAAATAAGTTATACATTGAATCCACATCGAAATCCCCATTTAAGTCACCTATCGCTGGGTTCATGTCTCGCTCCAAGACCGGCCCACACCCCATATACTCCAAGACCGGCCCACACCCCATAGGTATGGACCAATAGGAGCTGCCTCGTATGGACCAATAGGAGCTGCCTCGTATGGACCAATAGGAGCTGCCTCGTATGGACCAATAGGAGCTGCCTCGTATGGACCAATAGGAGCTGCCTCGTATGGACCAATAGCAGCTGCCTCGTATGGACCAATAGGAGCTGCCTCGTATGGACCAATAGCAGCTGCCTCGTATGGACCAATAGGAGCTGCCTCGTATGGACCAATAGCAGCTGCCTCGTATGGACCAATAGGAGCTGCCTCGTATGGACCAATAGGAGCTGCCTCGTATGGACCAATAGCAGCTGCCTCGTATGGACCAATAGGAGCTGCCTCGTATGGACCAATAGCAGCTGCCTCGTATGGACCAATAGCAGCTGCCTCGTATGGACCAATAGGAGCTGCCAGGGGTGGTCACCCTGGATGTTTATATTTGGTGGTCCGCCTCAGGGGGCCTCCAGGGGGCACTAAAGTCCCCTCTCACCCTCGTGCGCGTTTGGACGTGCTGTGGACGTGTTGTGGACGTGTTGTGGACGTGCTGTGGGCGTGTTGTGGACGTGTTGTGGACGTGTTGTGGACGTGCTGTGGACGTGTTGTGGACGTGGTATTTACCCAGGGACGACGACGCCATTTTGTGCAATGAAACATGGTGTACGAATTAACCTTGGTCTTGGTGGACGAATGTTATGATACTCATAGGCCTACTGGACATAGGCCTACTGGACATAGGCCTACTGGACATAGGCCTACTGGACATAGGCCTACTGGACATAGGCCTACTGGCAGCGCTTCCGCACTTGGCGACAATCAAAGCTCCCGTAAATGACTTCAGAATGTAGTATATGAAAATTACTTAGGAGAATATAATAAATAAAATGGACAAAAATATATAGATACCAACAGAAAGACACGCGACCTGTCCTCTTAAGAATAACGTCGCTTTTGGCCGTTTGTCCGTACGGCCGAAAGTGGACGTAATTTGAAAATGAAAGAAAAATGAAAATAAATTTGAGATTTTTTTCAACAACAGTTAGTTAAGGTTCCTGACAGATTAGGTGGGCAGGAAATTCTCATAAAGTTTCAAAACGTTATGAAAAACTTTAATTGAAAGTTTCCTCTTCTAACCTTTCCGAGTAAGCCGGACGACTCAAACAGAAAACGGGACAGTACGTCACTTTCGTGAGCCGATTTCATTTCAAATTACGTAAACTTTTGGCCGTAGCGCGCATACGAGCCAAAAGCGACGTTATATTTAAGAGTACGGGTTGTTGGGAGACACTTGCATGTAGTAATTGGGTCGTTTGGTTCAGTCTCTCTCTCCACTACCCATATTAGGGGCCTGCAAATGTTGGCTTCTCCCATTTTGTAATTTTCATTTCAAGAGAATTACAGTTTTATTCCGAAAGTTGTATTTTATTGAACCTTTTCGTGTTGTGAAGCTGTCTTTATTTTCGTGTTGTGAAGCTGTCTTTATTTTCGTGTTGTGAAGCTGTCTTTATTTTCGTGTTGTGAAGCTGTCTTTATTTTCGTGTTGTGAAGCTGTCTTTATTTTCGTGTTGTGAAGCTGTCTTTATTTTAGTGTTGTGAAGCTGTCTTTATTATGAGTGGAGAACTTGCCGGTAGAACAATGTTTGCAATATCAATATTTTATATGTTGGGTCGTCCATAGGTTAATTTTTGTTTTTAATTTAGAAACTCAAAATTGGAGTGGTCCTCGAGGCAGGGGAATATGGTAATTATCAGGAGAGAGCGCTAAGCCATTACGTCTATATAGTACACTGTAGACTGATACAGTGTACAGTGTACACAGCAACATGTACATAGCTGAAGGTGTTTATCTGGCACTCTACACTGTAATACTGGACCGCGTCCTCCGCTTCGACTCCCATCGTGTAAAGATGGGTAAAAGACCTTCAGCAAAGACGACAGTCGACGTTGCCCCACTCTCAACACTGACGTCTCTCAACACTGACGTCTCTAACACTGACGTCTCCCAACACTGACGTCTCTAACACTGACGTCTCCCAACACTGACGTCTCTCAACACTGACGTCTCCCAACACTGACGTCTCTCAACACTGACGTCTCTCAACACTGACGTGTTTCAACACTGACGTCTCCCAACACTGACGTGTTTCAACACTGACGTTTCTCAACACTGACGTCTCTCAACACTGACGTCTCTCAACACTGACGTCTGCCAACACTGACGTCTCCCAACACCGACGTCTCCCAACACCGACGTGTCCCAACACTGACGTCTCCTAACACTGACGTCTCCCAACACTGACGTCTCCCAACATTGACGTCTCTCAACACTGACGTCTCCCAACACTGACGTGTCCCAACACTGACGTCTCCCAACACTGACGTCTCTAACACTGACGTGTCCCAACACTGACGTCTCTCAACACTGACGTCTCCCAACACTGACGTCTCCCAACACTGACGTCTCCCAACACTGACGTCTCCCAACACTGACGTCTCTAACACTGACGTGTCCCAACACTGACGTCTCTCAACACTGACGTCTCCCAACACTGACGTCTCCCAACACTGACGTCTCTCAACACTGACGTCTCCCAACACTGACGTGTCCCAACACTGACGTCTCCCAACACTGACGTCTCTAACACTGACGTGTCCCAACACTGACGTCTCTCAACACTGACGTCTCCCAACACTGACGTCTCCCAACACTGACGTCTCCCAACACTGACGTCTCCCAACACCGACGTGTCCCAACACTGACGTCTCTCAACACTGACGTCTCCCAACACTGACGTCTCCCAACACTGACGTCTCCCAACACTGACGTGTCCCAACACTGACGTCTCTCAACACTGACGTCTCCCAACACTGACGTCTCCCAACACTGACGTCTCCCAACACTGACGTGTCCCAACACTGACGTCTCTCAACACTGACGTCTCCCAACACTGACGTCTCCCAACACCGACGTGTCCCAACACTGACGTCTCTCAACACTGACGTCTCCCAACACTGACGTCTCCCAACACCGACGTCTCCCAACACTGACGTCTCTCAACACTGACGTCTCCCAACACTGACGTCTCCCAACACTGACGTCTCCCAACACTGACGTGTCCCAACACTGACGCCTCCCAACACTGACGTGTCCCAACACTGACGTGACCCAACACTGATGTCTCCCAACACTGACGTCTCCCAACACTGACGTCTCCTAACACTGCCGTCTCCCAACACTGACGTCTCCCAACACTGACGTGTCCCAACACTGACGTCTCCCAACACTGACGTCTCCCAACACTGACGTCTCCCAACACTGACGTGTCTCAACACTGACGTGACCCAAATATGGAGAACAAAGGGCCCTAAGGTCAATAACACTGTCACATAGGCCTAGAATGTTTTATTATTCTCTGTACATAAAAGTGAAACAATTACAGCTCGTCCCATTGATGGACTCTCAATGGGTTCTTTATTTATTATATGGAAGACTAACTGAATCAACTCATCAAATCTGGAATCCTATTTTATTTGTCTATACTGTAAATGGTTTGTTTGATATTGATAGAATAAAGTTGGAAAGTTATACTAATAAGCAATTAGTTGTCACGTCACAAAAATACAATTCACATTTATAAAAGTCATAAAAAAATGTTTAGCAGGGCTAATGCTGCAACTTAATGCCTGGTCGAGAAGTGATTTCATAGTTATCCATTGAAGTGTCGTTTTCTTTGACAGTTATAGTTTTCTATAAACAGTGCTGAAGCTTGTGGGGATAACTAGCATATTCTCGTAGACTCAACATAACTGTCGCAGACAGAAGCTGACCGAGTTACATCAGACACCAAAATAAACATTGTCAGCATTTGAAAGGCATTACATTGCTTTATATACTTTATTAACTAAAATATTTCAACACATATGAGCGATAACAAGAGGTAAACTTCTCACATTCCGGACATTGTTAGAGCATACACCAGCTCTCGAGTATACTAAACACTTTGGGCACTGACGAAGGTTTACAGAACCCTCCAGACACCAACAGACTATTAGATCCAAAATTGGTTGATAATTTATGGAACATTTAGTGTCGTATCTTCGTCTTGGTGACTGTGTGGACGTAACGAAGTATCTTAGTGTCTACGTTGTCGTAACTACACGTCCTGGTGACCTTGTGGTCGTAACTACCACGTCCTGGTGACCTTGTGGTCGTAACTACACGTCATGGTGACCTTGTGGTCGTAACTACACGTCCTGGTGACCTTGTGGTCGTAACTACACGTCATAGTGACCATGTGGTCGTAACTACACGTCCTGGTGACCTTGTGGTCGTAACTACCACGTCCTGGTGACCTTGTGGTCGTAACTACACGTCCTGGTGACCTTGTGGTCGTAAGTACACGTCCTGCTGACCTTGTGGTCGTAACTACACGTCCTGGTGACCTTGAGGTCGTAACTACCACGTCCTGGTGACCTTGTGGTCGTAACTACCACGTCCTGGTGACCTTGTGTTCGTAACTACACGTCCTGGTGACCTTGTGGTCGTAACTACAAGTCCTGGTGACCTTGTGGTCGTAACTACCACGTCCTGGTGACCTTGAGGTCGTAACTACACGTCCTGGTGACCTTGTGGTCGTAACTACACGTCCTGGTGACCTTGTGGTCGTAACTACACGTCCTGGTGACCTTGTGGTCGTAACTACACGTCCTGGTGACCTTGTGGTCGTAACTACCACGTCCTGGTGACCTTGTGGTCGTAACTACACGTCCTGGTGACCTCGTGGTCGTAACTACACGTCCTGGTGACCTTGTGGTCGTAACTACACGTCCTGGTGACCTTGTGGTCGTAACTACCACGTCCTGGTGACCTTGTGGTCGTAACTATCACGTCCTGGTGACCTTGAGGTCGTAACTACACGTCCTGGTGACCTTGTGGTCGTAACTACACGTCCTGGTGACCTTGTGGTCGTAACTACCACGTCCTGGTGACCTTGTTGTCGTAACTACACGTCCTGGTGACCTTGTTGTCGTAACTACACGTCCTGGTGACCTTGTGGTCGTAACTACACGTCCTGGTGACCTTGTGGTCGTAACTATCACGTCCTGGTGACCTTGTGATCGTAACTATCACGTCCTGGTGACCTTGTGGTCGTAACTACACGTCCTGGTGACCTTGTGGTCGTAACTACACGTCCTGGTGACCTTGTGGTCGTAACTACACGTCCTGGTGACCTTGTGGTCGTAACTACACGTCCTGGTGACCTTGTGGTCGTAACTACACGTCCTGGTGACCTTGTGGTCGTAACTACACGTCCTGGTGACCTTGAGGTCGTAACTACCACGTCCTGGTGACCTTGTGGTCGTAACTACACGTCCTGGTGACCTTGTGGTCGTAACTACACGTCCTGGTGACCTTGTGGTCGTAACTACACGTCCTGGTGACCTTGTGGTCGTAACTACACGTCCTGGTGACCTTGAGGTCGTAACTACACGTCCTGGTGACCTTGTGGTCGTAACTACACGTCCTGGTGACCTTGAGGTCGTAACTACCACGTCCTGGTGACCTTGAGGTCGTAACTACCACGTCCTGGTGACCTTGAGGTCGTAACTACACGTCCTGGTGACCTTGAGGTCGTAACTACACGTCCTGGTGACCTTGAGGTCGTAACTACACGTCCTGGTGACCTTGAGGTCGTAACTACACGTCCTGGTGACCTTGAGGTCGTAACTACACGTCCTGGTGACCTTGAGGTCGTAACTACCACGTCCTGGTGACCTTGAGGTCGTAACTACCACGTCCTGGTGACCTTGTGGTCGTAACTACATATGGTTCATGTCTTATACTACATATATACTTTTTATTTTATTTATTTGTTGACTTTTATTTGTATTTATTATTTCGCTTTATTTATAATGTGGGATGTTAGGGGGAGGCCGCCTGGGGGGAGGAGGGGGGGAGTCGTGGGGGTATGGGGTCACGTGGCCTGGGGGACAACCCCCCAGTGACCCCCACAACAGGGGTATCGACGCCGGGCGGAGTAGTCGTCTTGGGCGGGGCATGGGCGGAGCCAAGCACCTGGGTGGGCGGGGCGTGGGAGGAGCCAAGCATCTGGGTGGGCGGGGCGTGGGAGGAGCCAAGCAGCTGAGTGGGCGGGGCATGGGAGGAGCCAAGCATCTGGGTGGGTGGGGCATGGGAGGAGCCAAGCACCTGGGTGGGCGGGGCGTGGGAGGAGCCAAGCATCTGGGTGGGCGGGGCGTGGGAGGAGCCAAGCAGCTGAGTGGGCGGGGCATGGGAGGAGCCAAGCATCTGGGTGGGCGGGGCATGGGAGGAGCCAAGCATCTGGGTGGGTGGAGCGTCGTCAAATGGGCGGGGCATGACGGGAGTGAAGGCGGAGGCGGAGCCTGGCGCCAGTGCGGCGGTAAACTGGTAGAGGGCGAGGGCGGAGGGGGGGAGCGGGCCCCCCGTGCTGGACGACGGAGACGACGAGGACGAGGACGAGGACGAGGGAGGGACGAGTCCCTTCACCCTCGCCTCCCGGTCCCGCCGCTCCCGGGCCCGACGGTTCTGGAACCAAATCTTCACCTGGAAAGAGAACAGGACTGACATTAGCTCTCAGCCTACAACACTGGCCGCTCTAATGACGCGTCAAGCGTAACATTTGAAGCGCTTGTGTCTCAAGCTCTCACACACTTGGCCTGGACGGTAGAGCGGACAGCACGCTGGACTTGTGATCCTGTGGTCCCGGGTTCGATCCCAGGCGCCGGCGAGAAACAATGGGCAGAGTTTCTTTCACTCTATGCCCCTGTTACCTAGCAGTAAAATAGGTACCTGGGTGTTAGTCAGCTGTCACGGGCTGCTTCCTGGGGGTGGAGGCCTGGTCGAGGACCGGGCCGCGGGGACACTAAAGCCCTTATCAAGATAACCTCAAGATAGAGCGACGGTAGAGCGTCATGCAGGTCGGCGTTCAATCCCCGACCCTCCAAGTGGTTGGGCACCATTCCTTCCCTCCGTCCCATCCCAAATCCTTATCCTGACCCCTTCATAGTGCTATATAGTGATGGCTTGGCGCTTTCCCCTGGTAGTACGCCTTGTGTCTGAAGCCTGACATAGATATAATGAAATAATAATGTCAGAGTTTGTCCCCCCTAGTGTTTCCTCCCATATTGGTTCCCTAGTGTGTCCCTCCCATATTGGTCCCCTGGTGTGTCCCTCCCATATTGGTCCCCTAGTGTGTCCCTCCCATATTGGTCCCCCCTAGTGTTTCCTCCCATATTGGTCCCCTAGTGTTCCCTCCCATATTGGTCCCCTGGTGTGTCCCTCCCATATTGGTCCCCTAGTGTGTCCCTCCCATATTGGTCCCCTAGTGTTCCCTCCCATATTGGTTCCCTAGTGTGTCCCTCCCATATTGGTCCCCTGGTGTGTCCCTCCCATATTGGTCCCCTAGTGTGTCCCTCCCATATTGGTTCCCTAGTGTGTCCCTCCCATATTGGTCCCCTGGTGTTCCCTCCCATATTGGTCCCCTGGTGTTCCCTCCCATATTGGTCCCCTAGTGTGTCCCTCCCATATTGGTTCCCTAGTGTGTCCCTCCCATATTGGTCCCCTGGTGTTCCCTCCCATATTGGTCCCCTGGTGTTCCCTCCCATATTGGTCCCCTGGTGTTCCCTCCCATATTGGTCCCCTGGTGTTCCCTCCCATATTGGTTCCCTAGTGTGTCCCTCCCATATTGGTCCCCTAGTGTGTCCCTCCCATATTGGTCCCCTAGTGTTCCCTCCCATATTGGTCCCCTGGTGTGTCCCTCCCATATTGGTCCCCTGGTGTTCCCTCCCATATTGGTCCCCTGGTGTTCCCTCCCATATTGGTCAACTAGTGTGTCCCTCCCATATTGGTCCCCTGGTGTTCCCTCCCATATTGGTCCCCTGGTGTTCCCTCCCATATTGGTCCCCTGGTGTTCCCTCCAATATTGGTTCCCTAGTGTGTCCCTCCCATATTGGTCCCCTAGTGTGTCCCTCCCATATTGGTCCCCTAGTGTTCCCTCCCATATTGGTCCCCTGGTGTGTCCCTCCCATATTGGTCCCCTGGTGTTTCCTCCCATATTGGTCCCCTAGTGTTCCCTCCCATATTGGTCCCCTAGTGTTCCCTCCCATATTGGTCCCCTGGTGTGTCCCTCCCATATTGGTCCCCTGGTGTTCCCTCCCATATTGGTCCCCTGGTGTTTCCTCCCATATTGGTCCCCTGGTGTTCCCTCCCATATTGGCCCCCTGGTGTTCCCTCCCATATTGGTCCCCTGGTGTTCCCTCCCATATTGGTCCCCTGGTGTTCCCTCCCATATTGGTCCCCTGGTGTTCCCTCCCATATTGGTCCCCTGGTGTTCCCTCCCATATTGGTCCCCTGGTGTTCCCTCCCATATTGGTCCCCTGGTGTTCCCTCCCATATTGGTCCCCTAGTGTGTCCCTCCCATATTGGTCCCCTGGTGTTCCCTCCCATATTGGTCCCCTAGTGTGTCCCTCCCATATTGGCCCCCTAGTGTTCCCTCCCATATTGGTCCCCTGGTGTGTCCCTCCCATATTGGTCCCCTAGTGTGTCCCTCCCATATTGGTCCCCTGGTGTTCCCTCCCATATTGGCCCCCTAGTGTTCCCTCCCATATTGGTCCCCTAGTGTGTCCCTCCCATATTGGTCCCCTGGTGTTCCTTCCCATATTGGTCCCCTGGTGTTCCCTCCCATATTGGTCCCCTAGTGTGTCCCTCCCATATTGGTCCCCTAGTGTGTTCCTCCCATATTGGTCCCCTAGTGTGTCCCTCCCATATTGGTCCCCTAGTGTGTCCCTCCCATATTGGTCCCCTGGTGTTCCCTCCCATATTGGTCCCCTAGTGTGTCCCTCCCATATTGGTCCCCTAGTGTGTCCCTCCCATATTGGTCCCCTGGTGTTCCCTCCCATATTGGTCCCCTAGTGTTCCCTCCCATATTGGTCCCCTAGTGTTCCCTCCCATATTGGTCCCCTAGTGTTCCCTCCCATATTGGTCCCCTAGTGTTCCCTCCCATATTGGTCCCCTGGTGTTCCCTCCCATATTGGTCCCCTGGTGTTCCCTCCCATATTGGTCCCCTAGTGTGTCCCTCCCATATTGGTCCCCTGGTGTTCCCTCCCATATTGGTCCCCTAGTGTGTCCCTCCCATATTGGTCCCCTGGTGTTCCCTCCCATATTGGTCCCCTAGTGTGTCCCTCCCATATTGGTCCCCTGGTGTTCCCTCCCATATTGGTCCCCTAGTGTTCCCTCCCATATTGGTCCCCTAGTGTGTCCCTCCCATATTGGTCCCCTGGTGTTCCCTCCCATATTGGTCCCCTGGTGTTCCCTCCCATATTGGCCCCCTAGTGTTCCCTCCCATATTGGTCCCCTAGTGTTCCCTCCCATATAGGTCCCCTAGTGTGTCCCTCCCATATTGGTCCCCTGGTGTTCCCTCCCATATTGGCCCCCTAGTGTGTCCCTCCCATATTGGTCCCCTAGTGTTCCCTCCCATATTGGTCCCCTGGTGTTCCCTCCCATATTGGTCCCCTGGTGTTCCCTCCCATATTGGTCCCCTGGTGTTCCCTCCCATATTGGTCCCCTGGTGTTCCCTCCCATATTGGTCCCCTGGTGTGTCCCTCCCATATTGGTCCCCTGGTGTTCCCTCCCATATTGGTCCCCTGGTGTTCCCTCCCATATTGGTCCCCTGGTGTGTCCCTCCCATATTGGTCCCCCCTGGTGTGTCCCTCCCATATTGGTCCCCTGGTGTTCCCTCCCATATTGGTCCCCTGGTGTTCCCTCCCATATTGGTCCCCTGGTGTTCCCTCCCATATTGGTCCCCTAGTGTTCCCTCCCATATTGGTCCCCTAGTGTTCCCTCCCATATTGGTCCCCTAGTGTGTCCCTCCCATATTGGTCCCCTGGTGTTCCCTCCCATATTGGTCCCCCTAGTGTGTCCCTCCCATATTGGTCCCCTGGTGTTCCCTCCCATATTGGTCCCCCTAGTGTGTCCCTCCCATATTGGTCCCCCTAGTGTTCCCTCCCATATTGGTCCCCCCTGGTGTTCCCTCCCATATTGGTCCCCTGGTGTTCCCTCCCATATTGGTCCCCCCTGGTGTTCCCTCCCATATTGGTCCCCCTAGTGTGTCCCTCCCATATTGGTCCCCCTAGTGTGTCCCTCCCATATTGGTCCCCTGGTGTTCCCTCCCATATTGGTCCCCCCCTAGTGTTCCCTCCCATATTGGTCCCCTGGTGTTCCCTCCCATATTGGTCCCCTAGTGTTCCCTCCCATATTGGTCCCCTAGTGTGTCCCTCCCATATTGGTCCCCTGGTGTTCCCTCCCATATTGGTCCCCTGGTGTTCCCTCCCATATTGGCCCCCTGGTGTTCCCTCCCATATTGGTCCCCTGGTGTTCCCTTCCATATTGGTCCCATGGTGTGTCCCTCCCATATTGGTCCCCTAGTGTGTCCCTCCCATATTGGTCCCCTAGTGTTCCCTCCCATATTGGCCCCCTAGTGTTCCCTCCCATATTGGTCCCTTGGTGTTCCCTCCCATATTGGTCCCCTGGTGTTCCCTCCCATATTGGTCCCCTAGTGTTCCCTCCCATATTGGCCCCCTAGTGTTCCCTCCCATATTGGTCCCCTGGTGTTCCCTCCCATATTGGTCCCCTGGTGTTCCCTCCCATATTGGTCCCCTGGTGTTCCCTCCCATATTGGTCCCCTAGTGTTCCCTCCCATATTGGCCCCCTAGTGTTCCCTCCCATATTGGTCCCCTGGTGTTCCCTCCCATATTGGTCCCCTGGTGTTCCCTCCCATATTGGTCCCCTGGTGTTCCCTCCCATATTGGTCCCCTGGTGTGTCCCTCCCATATTGGTCCCCTAGTGTGTCCCTCCCATATTGGTCCCCTGGTGTTCCCTCCCATATTGGTCCCCTGGTGTTCCCTCCCATATTGGTCCCCTGGTGTTCCCTCCCATATTGGTCCCCTAGTGTGTCCCTCCCATATTGGTCCCCTAGTGTTCCCTCCCATATTGGTCCCCTGGTGTTCCCTCCCATATTGGTCCCCTAGTGTTCCCTCCCATATTGGTCCCCTAGTGTGTCCCTCCCATATTGGTCCCCTAGTGTGTCCCTCCCATATTGGTCCCCTAGTGTGTCCCTCCCATATTGGTCCCCTAGTGTGTCCCTCCCATATTGGTGTCCACAATATGCAGAGAGGAAGGTGTTAAGAACACCGGACATACTCATGCTGAAGCTACCATACGAGGCACAAGTATCCCTCCACCGCCCAAGACATTAACGTTTAGCACACACTGGGACAGCCAGAGTCCCAGCGCCCGCCCTGGGATACCCCAGCAAACAAACACACAATTCCTTGTTGACCAGACCACACACTAGAAGGTGAAGGGACGACGACGTTTCGGTCCGTCCTGGACCATTCTCAAGTCGATTGAGAATGGTCCAGGACGGACCGAAACGTCGTCGTCCCTTCACCTTCTAGTGTGTGGTCTGGTCAACGTACTTTAGCCACGTTATTGTGACTCATCGCCTGTACAAAATTCCTTCCTTCTACCATAATAATAATAATAAT